ACAAAGGTCATGAATTAAAGATCATGCACTCTGTTCATGGGTTCTCTCAAGCATTCATTCAAAGTTTATTTTACTTTTATTTTAAATCAGTGGTGTGACTTTAATGACTTATTTTTAAAATCTGTCATTTCCATCCCAAGCAGGATAGCAGTTCTTAGAAATATAATGCTATAGCTTCTTAGAAATAGCTAAAATATAAATTAAAATATAAAACAGGATATAGAAAAACTGTAACATATGATTATAAGAGTTAAAGAAACCTGCCAGAAGACACATATTCAGTGATTTATATCTATGGCCATGAGAAAACAAGCAAAGGTTTAATATCTATTTAAGAGGGTGAAGAAATATATGAATTTTAAAAGGATTTGCTTTTATCAAAATGTGATTATGGGAGATAATTTTTATAGCAAGATATGTATTATTGGCCTCTAAATTTCTCTTTAACAGATGGGCATTTGGCCAGGCTGTTAAGATGCCTGCATCCCATATCAGAGTGCTCTATGTTTGAGTCCCATCTCTGCTTCCAGTCACAGTTTCCTGTTGATGTACTCCTAAGTCTCAGTAGCACTTGCTGCTTCTGTGAGAGACCAGCATAATTCCAGGCTCCTGTTTTGGACATTTGGGGGCAGATGATCTCTGTCTCTATCTGCTTCTCTCTCTCTCTTAAATAACCATACAATGTAGAAAGTACTTGTTATGTCCAAAGTAATATATATTTTTTTAAAGATTTATTTTTATTATTTTTTCATTGGAAAGGCGGATATACAGAGAGGAGAGACAGAGAGGAAGATCTTCCGTCCGATGATTCACTCCCCAAGTGAGCGCAACGGGCCGATACTATGCCGATCCGAAGCCAGGAGCCTCTTCCGAGTCTCCCACGCGGGTGCAGGTTCCCAAAGCTTTGGGCCGTCCTCTGCTGCTTTCCCAGGCCACAGGCAGGGAGCTGGAAGGGAAGCGGGGCTGCCGGGATTAGAACCGGCGCCCATATGAGATCCCAGGCGTGCAAGGCGAGGACCTTTAACCACTTGCGCCACCGCGCCAGGCCCCAAAGTAATATTTTAACCAGTAAGGAAGCACAGATGTAAAAGATCCAGTGTGTTGTATAGTGTAGTGAATGCAGGAACTTGACAGGCCAGTGGGAGTGCTCTGGAGGGTGAAGGAATGCATGTAAGAGCACAATAATTTGAGAAACCATGATGTGCTCATAGTAGCATAGATTCTTCAGTGTAATTGATGTATGTTGTATAAAGTGAGGTGTCTGAAGATCATATGATGGGGCATTAGAGTGGGCACCGATGTTTAGCATTCATCCTAGGTGAGTTACTAGATTGGTCATGTGGGACATTGAACACCATGTTGATGATAAAGGTTAGAGTGAAATATTGAGTAATCTATTTTTACAAGGATTTCTGTAGTATCTTTATGTAGTGCAACATTTGTTAATGAGGGTGGGTGGAGCCTGGTTTGAGAAACACCATTTGGGATCCTGTTGTGGTTGATCTTGCCAAGAGTTTTCTGAGTGAACAGAGACATCTGCAGTGAGGATAGAAATAAGGAAGGAGACACATGTTGTATTGGAAGTGAGCAGGAAGAAGAGTTTAGTAAAACTTTAGACATCTAGTTCACATGAAAGGTAAATGTTGATGGGGAGAAGCAATTGGATAAAACGGTTGAGTTTGGATTTGTTGTGTTTGAGATGTCTGTGGGGTATAGGCAAAGAAGTGTTTGTCTGACTTACAGATCCAGAAAAATGCTGTAGAGTTTTGGCTAGATGTGTGGATTAGGGAGTCATTAGCACATAGGTGATAGTTGAATAAAAGCTGTCTGTGCTCAGAACCTTCAAAGTTAAGATGTAGTTACTTGTTGCTTAAGCTGCGGAAGTATGTTGAAGTTTCATTCTCGTACATATTCCATTTGTTTTTGCACCTGCAATGAGCATTTTAGAATTATAGTATACTTGAGGAAAGCAAATCAGTGTCAATTTTTTTATTTAATAAATAAATGTATGAAATGCCCCTGAATAAATTGTGTGAGGATGTGTTTTGGAGTTAAGATGACAGATAAGATGATAATATTTTTAATATTTAATTTGTTTTATTACAATTTCATAAGCTCTGGGATTTTCCTTTTCCCCTTCCCAAAATTCCACACCTCACTCATTTCCCCAATATCATTACAATAGTATAGCCCTTCATAATCAGTCATAAGTTCATGTGATTCTGTTGTCAAAGTGTATCCTGACATTGTAGGTATGAAGAGTGGCAGAGTCCAGCATCCTAGTGTCAAGATATATTTATCATATATTTTTTAAAGATTTATTTATTTATTGTAAAGTCGGATATACAGAGAGGCGGAGAGACAGAGAGGAAGATCTTCCGTCCGATGATTCACTCCCCAAGTGAGCGCAATGGCCGATGCTGTGCCAATCCAAAGTCAGGATCCAGGAACTTCTTCCGGGTCTCCCACATGGGTGCAGAGTCCCAAGGCTTTGGGCCGTCCTCGACTGCTCTCCCAGGCCACAAGCAGGGAGCTGGATGGGAAGTGGTGCTGCCGGGATTAGAACCAGCGCCCATATGGGATCCCTGGCGCGTTCAAGGCGAGGACTTTAGCCTCTAGGCCATGTTGCCAGGCCCTATTTATCATATTTTTTTCTTCCTGCTGTTGATTTTGTTTTATGGCTTTTTATTTATGAGGATGTATAGTAACTGTGTAATAGAGACTATCACGTCCAGATGTGAAGATAAAATGCAGTATGCATCTCTACTTTCAAATCAAAGGTGGATGATAGTATTTTTAAAGTTGAAATCTGGTAACATACTTTGAACATAAGCTTTGGAGTAAGAGCTCCTTAAAATTCTATGTTTGTGTGTATTTATGTGTGTGTATGCTTGAAGTGTGAGGAACAACTTTTGCATTATTTATATAAGCTTTGAGTACAATTTAGAGAGCAATTTAAAGGTGAAAAAGATTCGTTTGTAAGTTGAGTTAGCAATTCTGAAATAATGTATAATAATATTTTGATTACTATTGATGATTTGAAGGATACTGAAATGAAGTAAGGAATTTTCTGTTGGACCAACAGACAAATGAAACCAAAAATATTTTAGTCTTTGATTTGCTAATTCATTTTACAATCAGGTATTCTGATAATGTATTTTTCAGTGTCATCACTTATTCTCAAGAGAATATTTCACCAAGTTTGTAGTAAATGGATTTAAAATGTAAGTTTACTTAGGCATATTTTTGAAATCCATGCATATTTCATGTCTTAATGTAAAATTCATCTTATGAAAAAGTAATGTGTGGATTTAAAAAATACATTTTTGCATCAAAATAGCATCTTTTAATTCTCTTTTTCTGTATTTTTAAAATACCCTCATATTCTGCCTTTTCAGTTCCTTGAAGGCTGAAGCTGTGTCTTATCATTTGTGTCTTCTGTAGAACTTTTAAACATTTGAAATTATGGTCAATAAGTATTAATAAATTACTACAAGTTTAGCACATAAGAGGATTTATTTTAAGGAAGTCATTTTTAAGTGCAAGTAAAAAAGTACAAGAGACAGTAACATTCTGGAAAGAGCACAGGATTTGCTGAGCAGACTGTGCGTATCCTAGTGTAGTCAAGCTTGTGATGTTTATGGAGTTAATTAGCTTCTCTGAGATTTGTTTTTTTCTATATGGTGGAGATAGTAATACTTATTAATGATTTGTGAGATGTAAATGCAATTACATAAGGAAATGCCTCACAAATTTTAAGAACCGAATAAAGTGATCACAATCATCACTTGTTTATCTTACATCAAACTTTCATCTACAGCGGTTCCTTTTAAGTATTTTTTTAATGGCAAACACTATAAAAAGATATTGACTTTTCTGACTTCACCATGAAACTTAAAACATTGTCTTTACTATATATGATTAACTGCATTATATTGTAGAGTGTTTCACAAAAACTTGCAAGAGCGTGTTGATCCTGTTGTTTATTGATAAACACAACTCAAAATTTGTAAAACATCAGTATCAGCATTTTATCGCAGTATTCTTGTTGGGGGAAAGTTTTTGACGAGATGTATGTATTGGAGAGGCATCTTTAAAATCAATTAATTAGTTAAATTTATCTGAAAAATTGCAGAGAGAATGTGAGAGAGAGAAATCGTCCATTTTCTGGTTCACTCCCCACATGACTGTAATAGTGAGACCTGGGCCAGGCAGAAAGCAGGAGTCTGCAGCTCCATCCTGCTAGGCTCCTTATGGATGGTAGAGTGCTCAGCTTGGCCAGCTTCTGTTCCTTTCCTGTTCGTATTAGCAAGACACTGGATTGGAAGGCGTAGCCAGAGAGTCCGATCTAACAGACATTGGCTTAACCTAATGCACTGTAACACTGGCCCTTGGTTGGTAGTCCTCACCAGATAATATTTCTGTTTCTTATGTTTAGCAGGATTATACATTATTTTTAAGCTTTTATTATGTTAAATCTAGGTTAATAAATATGCTTACTGATTAAAATACTACTTTATACTTGTAGATAACTGGATTCTGTGGTATGAATAATTTAATGTATTACATTTTCCCTCTCACCAGAGAGCTTCTTTATGATTTTTTTTTTTAAGTTTTTACTTTTTTGGTTCTGGAGGAGTAGATTGGCCAGACAATATTTTATTAATGGGGATTTCTAAAGATAGGAAGAATATGATATCCTATCTTCTCAACTAATCTTGGTTAGAACTAACTTCTTAGTTAAGAATTTGATCTTGTGTTTAATTTATTCAGCCTAAAAGATAGTTAACAAAGATTTTCATTGTGTTTTGTGAAGTTTTATCAGAGCTGACATGATACCCATATATATCAGATTTTTAGCTTATCAGCATAAATGATAATTTATGTAATGACACCATTGATCTAAATAAAACATTCAGCTATATTTCAAAATATGCAAATAATTGTTTTTTTATAATGCGAACTGCTATTTTTGAACTTGTTTCTGCTTCTTCCTGTAGGGCTTCATCTGTCCGCAGTGTATGAAATCTCTTGGCTCTGCTGACGAGCTTTTCAAACATTACGAGGTAGTTCATGATGCTGGCAATGATTCAAGCCATGGAGGAGAGGCTCATCTCACTTTGAAGCGGTACAGTATAATACTTTGTGAACTGTGATGCGAGCTTTGTTAATCATGATCAGACTATGAAAACAATATTTCCATGTTGTTTAATTCTGTCCTTGTTTAGTGTGGCTGTTCTCCCTTATTGTTACAACCTGTTCAATCTTTCATCTGTGGTATCTGTACTACTCTCTTCAATATAATGTAAAGGTTTTGTTTCTAAGAAAGATGTGAGGTAACAAAAAAAGTTTAACTTAAAGTTAGCATTTATTTTAGTCTGTTAAAAAAAATTATGTACTTGATTTACTTGTTTTTATAGTAAGCTGTTACAATAGTGAACTTATCCGGGAATTAAAATGTTAATTCTTAATTTAAAAATGTTAGAAGTTCACTTTGTAATTATCAGCTTAATAAAGTCAAGTACACATTGTGCTTCTGGAAAACTTAGCCTGTTTTGAAAACTCAAACTAAATGAAAATATAGTTCCTTATAATAGCATTTAGCCATATGACTTGACTTTTCTTCTACTGGTGAGACTTCATGTCTTTAAACCCTCACTGAGGAAGACAGATTCGTTTAGAAAAGTTTTTTTTGCTTTTCTTTTTATAAGGTTTTTCTTGCTTTACTTATTTGAAAGGCAGAATTATAGAGAAGAGAGACAGAGAATCTTCCATTTGCTGGTTCACTCCACAAGTGGCCACACTGGCCAGAGCTGAGCCAATCTGAAGCTAGGATACAGGAACTTCTGAGTCTACTACATGTGTGCAGGGGCCCAAGGACTTCTTTCTCAGGCCACTAGCAGGGAGAGGGATTGGAAATAGAGCAGCCAGGCCATGCACTGGGATGCATGTGGGATGTTGGCGCTGCCGGCAAAAGTTTAGCACCATGGCACCTGCTCCTTCAAGCTTTTCTTTCTTTCTTTTTTTTTTTTTTGTAAGATTTATTTATTTATTGGAAAGTCAGATATACAGAGAGGAGGAGAGACAGAGAGGAAGATCCCCAGTCCAATGATTCACTCCCCAAGTGAGTGCAACGGCCGGTGCTACGCCGATCTGAAGCCGGGAACCAGGAACCTCTTCCAGGTCTCCCAGAGTCCCAAAGTTTTGGACCATCCTCGACTGCTTTCCCAGGCCACAAGCAGGGAGCTGGAGGGGAAGTGGAGCTGCCAGGATTAGAACCGGCGCCCATATGGGATCCCTGGCGCGTTCAAGGCGAGGACTTTAGCCTCTAGGCCATGGTGCCGGGCCCATGCTTTTCTTAACAGACATGTTCTCTGTTTCTCTGTAATTCTGACTTTCAAGAGAAACAAGCATGTCTTGAAAAAAAAAAAGAAATATTTTTTTGTTAAAATGCTATAATACAGGAGGTTTTCAATAAAAGAAAAGTATCACTGCCCAACTTTGTGATTAATAGGTAGTATAGAGCTACAAAATGTGATTTTTGATTTATTAAAATGTTTGGGAAAATGTGATTTGGGAGGAATAGGTGTTTATTTTTCATGAATGTTAGCATTCCTTGGTATTTTTATGCATAGGTGAATTTTGGCAACTGTTCTTTGGTCTTTTGTTAGAAAATAGATAAAATATGTAGTTATGTTAAATCACATTATAAATATTTTTTGTTTATTTTAATAAGATTTATTTGTTTATTTGAAATCATAGTTAGAGGGAGGTAGGGAATGATAAAAATAGAAGAAACTCCATCTGCTTGTTTACTCCCCAAATTTCTACAACAAGTGTTGTGGGACCAGGCCAAAGTCAGCAGCCCGGAGCTTCATCTGGGTCTTCCACACAGATGTAGGGGCCCAAGCACTTTGCTCATTTTCTGCTGCTTTGCTAGGTGCATTAGAAGAGAGCTGGAATGCAAGTGGAGTGGACAGTCTCCCACTGGCATGCGTGTGGGTGTTGTCATCAGAGGTGATAGCCGAATGTGCTGTGCCATAATACTGACTCCAGTATTTTTATGTTTAATATAAATTTGGTATAGCTAACATTTTGAGGTGTCAATTAGATCATTTTCAATAAGTGAACTTTCAACATAAAGGCATTCATAGTCTACACTTGTTCTTTTTTTTTTTATTACTCTACTGAATTAGTCTTATCTTCTCTGAAGCCTGGCTTTTGACCTTCTATCCTCCTGGAATTTGTTCCTCAAGGGTCAGCAGTAACCTAAATTATCTTCATTATTGTTTTACTTAGCCTCTATTTTAGTTATGTATTGCTGTATAACAACCTGCCCAGTGCTTGGTGATTTAAAACTATAGCACCCATCTTTAGTTGCCATAGAATTTCTAATTGCTAGGAAGGTCAGGAGATCCCAGCTGGCCTTCCATTCATGACTGGCAGTTGCTCGTGGATGCTTGCTGAGAGCTCAGCTGCGCTGTGTGCTGAAGTCCTCAGTTCTCCATTCTGTGGCCTCTGACTGTTTGAACTTGGAAACCAGGAATCGGGTTCCAAGAAGGAGCTTCCTATGAGGAGAAGCGGATGACGCCCATTTCCTTTAGGTCTGGTTCAAAATTGTTGGAGCCCTGCCTCTTCCACATTGTATGAGTTAAAGTAGTCACAGAACCGGCTCAGATTTAAGAAATCAAGAAATAAACTCTATCTTTTGCATTTAGTATGTAGCAAAGGGAGAAATTTGATGGCGGTCATCTTTGCAGATCACCAGAACTCTGCAAAATTTGACCCTGCTTTCTGCCCTTCTCCTTAGTCTTCTGATGTATCATGCCATTGTGATCTTTATCTGTTTTCTGTTTCACTCTTGTGCCATATCATCTTCCTGGGGATAATGTCTACCTTCACAGCTTCTTGTTAAACTACATCTTCAACCCCAAATTATCTCCCAAATGCTGAAGAGATGTTTTCACTAAGATGTTTCAAAGGCATCTTACTGTTGGCCTTTTGAAAGAAATCATATTTCCTTCGTAACCTAATCCTTGTCTTCTGTTACATCTTCCGGTGAACAACAGCAGTATGCATCTACCTGGCTACTAAAGCCAGGAAAGTAGGCACGTCCTTACTGACACATCTCATCTGTCACCTAGTTCAGATGCTTCTATTTCCTTAACAGTTCTTATGAATTATGTATTTAAAATGAGAATTTAATTGCTGTTCTAAACAGAATTTTGCTGGTTTTTGCTTGCTTATTAGACAGTAATTGTGTGTTTTTTTCTTTTTTTGCGTTTCATTGTCTGTTTTTTTTCCTTCTCCCTGAACCACTGCACTTACTAATAGTTTTATAACGCTGTAGAGAATATGTGACTATTGGTAGGAAATATATTTTAGATCAAAAGTGAAAATGACTGGGGCTCAAAATTTAAGTGATTCAAGAAGTTACATGGTAAAAATTGAGTTCTTTTCATCCCTTTTCCTTGGCTCTCTCTTCATTGGTTTCTTGTGTGTTCTTCAGAGTTAATTTATGCATACAAATGTAGATTTTATTTGTGTATAAAAATACATCGGTGTGTAAGCAGCTTACATAAAAGGCGCTAGTTCTACATTGTTCTATATGTTTTTATCTGTATCATATAGGTTTTTTTAAAAGCAATGCAAACAGAACTGTTTTATTTTTTATTAATATTTTTCTCCTCTTGAGTGTTCAGGGTATTTTTAGTACTTTGCAGCTAACATGTAATGCTGTGGCATGTGTCCTTATGGTGATATTGTATCTACATATTGGACTGTATCAAGTGTCTGGAGATAGTTTTAAAAGTTTCCCACAGTCTTTTGTCAATATCTGTTATTTGTTTTCATAAGTTACACATTTCAGAAGATTGTCTTTTGTGGCAAATTGCTTTTACAAATTTGTTGAAATAGTGCTTTTTAAGATTAAATTGAACAATTGTGATCACTGAATTAGAAGTTGAGTTGCAATTCTTTTCATAATTTCCTTATATTTTAACATGAGGCATTTAGGTATATTAATTTCTGTATCAATCATTTCAGTTTTCATGTAGAATTGGAAGGTTAATACATAATAGGGAAAAACCAGTAACAATTCCACACATTTGCGTTTACACATGAATATATAAGTGTCCTGTAGTTGATTTACAGTTTCTATAATCAGTTAAGTTCATAGAGCAACATTGTGGAAAGGCTGTGATGGTGGCACACACATGCATCATAACAAAGAAAGGAAAACTAAAGAAAACATTACAGAAAGATGTACTTTGAGAGTCAAAAAAACTTTCACAATCTAATTTTATTTTGATATGCAGAAAATTAAAGCCTAGTCCTCAACAATTACTTTCATCATAAGGCCCATTCCAGTCTTCTAGATAGCACTGACCGCTTTCTTTAAGCTTCTGTTTTTGTTTCTATCATAAAACTGGTCATGGATTTTTATACTTATTTGCATGTTTGTTTCCCTCATTAACCTGAACAACTTGAAAGTCCAACACAGACAGTATATGCCTGTTGAATAATGAGTGAATGAATGCATTAAGATAATTTTTTTGTTTTCAATATTGTTTACATAACTGAGGGGGATGCACACTCATGTAGGCCTCCAATTAGGGTGCAGAAGGTTGACTTATGGAGAAAGGTGGGTAGAACAAATGTTGCAATTTTTTTCTTCTGCTTTGTGTGTCAGTGGTGTGGGGAATGAGCTTGACCTGGCCAGCACCCCTTTATGGTTCTTTGTGTACCAACGGGTGCTGTGGCCTTGCCCAGTCCAGCTTGCCCCTGGATCTGGCCCACATTTATGTGGACGGGTGCTGGCCTGACCTGCCCTCAGCCCCAGTTCTCACACACACCAGTGTGAGCTGGAGCCTCACTAGGAAAGTTTCGCACTTCCCTACTAGCCCTGGATATTGGTGCATGCCAACTTTGCTTGCCAGCAGGTGCTACAGCCCAGCCTGACAAAACCTGCCCTCAGTTCTGGCACTTACTGGTGGGTGATTCTGCCTAACCCAATTCTGCATCCATTCCAGCTCTCGCTGGCAGATGCTACACCTTGCCCACTCCCTGACCCAGGTCTCATGTAAACTGGTGGATGCCATTGAATGAATAAATTATTTACTGACTGTAAAGGTATAGGACTAATTTCTTCTCCAGTATATTTGTTTTTGTTGGCAATTTCTTCCTTTTTTGTGATTTTATTCTCACCTCCATCAAGAACAAATTCCAGTCTCGTTTTCTTTAACTTCAGCTTGTATCTTTTACTTGTGCTGGAGTGGACTTAGAACTGATCCTATTACTTCCTTTAGAAGAGGACCACTCAACTTGAGTATTCTTAATCAACTTCCATTCCATTTTCGTTTTTGTCTGTGTTCTATCATGGCTGTTATTGATAGTGGCAGGGAACAAGGGAATATCTTTCTGCTGTTAACAGTCCAACAAATGAATACATGTTCTTTCCATCCACAATCTTATGAGCTCCCTCCTGCATTAGGGCCTAGAGTGGTCTACTCATTATTCTTTGTCAGTATGAATCTTGGGCGAGAATAGAATAGAATATGAATATATTCTCAAACAGGACAGAGTATGTCATACAGACGAAATGAAGCATTGTGTGGAAGATAAGTCAAAGGAGTGGAGAGTGATAGGACAGGGACTAGATTAGGCAGATTCTGTAGTCTTTGTAATTATGAGTTTACATTTTATGCTAACTGCCATATGTAGCTGTTGATACTGATTGTTGATAAATATGTGGAAGATAATTTGTTTTTGGCTCAGACACTTAAATCTCAGTAAATGATTATTTCTAAGAGAGATTTTTTTCCTTTTAATAGTAGTGAGGTTTAGGAATAATGCTGTTGTTAAGGTTTTATGTATATTTCACCATGCATGAAATCTGTAGAGGTTTTTAAAAAATAATCAAGAAAACTATAATAATAATCACATGTAGTTGCTAGCTATCATTTAACAAATGATTACATTGTTAATTAAAGAACATTAATTATGAATTCCTTTTTTTTCTATCTGTGTTTAGTGATGACATAACACTACTCAGACAAGAAGTCCAGGACCTACAGACTTCACTTAAGGTTTGTACAAAAATTATTATACTTGTTTATTATATTTGTTTATTATACTTGTCAGTATTTCAGGTAATAAATATTTTAAAATTTATTAATTAAAAATCTTCTTCACTAGGAAGAAAAATGGTACTCAGAAGAATTAAAGAAAGAATTAGAAAAATATCAAGGGCTGCAACAGCAAGTAACTGCTTTTAAATATTTGAAGCATGCTTATTATTTATTTTCATTTCACTTACGCATAATACTTTTTATAAGCAAATGGTCTGTATGAACAACATTTTAATTTATTTTCCTGTGTTTAATAGTGTGTGAAGTATTTTTTTTTCAATTTATGGGAAAGCAAATAAATACCTGGCAAGTAGAGATGTAACATCTTAAAGGTCTTCCATCAGTAATCAGGCTGGCTGTGGATCTTTTATTTTTTTTCAATACTGGCATTATTCTGTTTTATGTCAATAAACATAAATGATTAAAAATTATAGGTTCAAACAGTAATGAATCTGCTCAAAAAATTTATGTTTGTGACAAATTAGAAGACAGCTTGGGAATGACTAAAATGTCTGCTGTTAGGTAAAAAAAAATCCTGTTGGCTGTTTATATACATTATATGTAAACAATATTAGTTTTGTTTATTTTTTTAACTATTCAATAGGCTGGGATGCAGGAAGGGAGAAAGTGGGTGCAGGAGCAAAAGGGAGCAAACAGGGCTCCCTCCCCAGATGGATGTAACAGCCAGATCCGGGCCAAGCCAAAGCCAAGAGCCAGAAGCTCTCTCCTGATCTCCCACAGGTTTGATGGGGGCTCAAGTACCTGAGCCATCTTTGGTGCTTCCCCAGGCACAGTAGCAGGGAGCTAAGTCAGAAGCAGAGCAGCCAGCCAATAATCCTCCAATTCGAGATGTCAGTGTTGAGTGGCAGCTTAACCTTTCACAGGGGGTATCATTGACCCCTTTATGTATTATTTTTATGTTACTAAATTCATACAATGTATATACAGTCATGTACCACATACCAATGAATTGATCAACAATTGACCACATATCCAACAGTGGTCCCATAAGATTATGATCGAGTTGAAAACTTCTTATTCTCTGTTGGTGTAATAGACATTATAATATTATAGGACAACGTACTGTTTGTGCTCATGTTAATGCTAATGTAAAGAAATCTGTGCTGCTTGTCATAGAAAAATATACAGATTTTAATTATGTATATTATATAATACTTGATAATAGTAATAAGTAACTATGTTCTTTTTTATGTATTTACTATAGTGAAATTATCATTTTAGAATGTATTCCTTCTACCTATTAAAAAAGAAAGCTAATATTCTAGCAAGAAGGAATTCAGCAAGAAGGCATTGTTATTCTAGAATGTGACAGTGCATGTTGCTGCTGCTGAAGACTTCCCAGTGCCAGGTTTAGGAACATTTATTCTGCCAAAGACCATTTAGATATTTATAAAATCATTTGTGGGCCACAAAATATTATCAGCTTAAAAATTAGCCTGCTGTAAATTTACTTCTTTGTCTTGGCTCAGCTGCAGCCACTGTGACCATCTGGGCATTGCACAAGTAGATAGAAGAATTCTTACCTTCTGCTTCTCTGTGTCTCTGTCACTTGGCCTTTTAAAACAGACAAAACATTCTTTAAAAATAGTAACACATTGAAAAAAGCAGAAGAAACAGTGGTGTCAAAAGTGATTTTTCTCTGAGTTGACTTCTTTTGATGGCTTAGATTCTTTATAGTGTATATTCTAAATAAATATGATGTTCATTTATTAGTTTTATGTCAAAATTATATTGGCTGTATGCTAAAGTAAAGCAAGAATCAAAGACAATAAATCTGACCAAGTCCTTAGTCTTAATTTGTTAAAATAGATACCCTTCAACAGTAGTTTTAATATTTTTGTGAAGTATTTGTAATCCCTTGGCACATTGCCTTTCATTTGGTAATCTAAAAAGAATTGGAGAAGGAAAAAGTGAATAGTAAGATATCAGTCTTACTGCTATTCAACTTCTTTAATCAGAAATTCAGCTTAACATAAAAAAATTTAGTAACCTAAAATCCATATAGATCATCTATTTGTGATTCATATAGGAAGGCACTTAAAAAGTTTGTAAACAGAGCCCAGTGTGGTAGCCTAGCAGCCAAAGTCCTTGCCTTGCATGCTGTGGTTCTAATCCTGGAAGTCCCGCTTCCCACCCAAGTGCCTGCTTGTAACCTGGGCAAGCAGTTGAGGATGGGCCAAAGCCTTGGGACACTGCATTCGTGTGGGAGACCTGGAAGAGGCTCCTGGCTCCTGGCTCCTGGCTCCTGGGCTCCTGGCTTCGGATTGGCTTGGCTCCAGCTGTAGTAGCCATTTGGGGAGAGAATCATTGGATGGAAGATCTTCCTCTCTGTAAATCTGACTTTCCAATAAAAGTAAATACATTTCTAAAAAAATAAGTTTATGAAGTAATGAAATTCAAACATAAGCCTATTTTGGTCCACAAAAATGGAAATCCATGCATACTTTCATCATATCATATATTTTCCATGGATTCTTTGATGATCTCTGGTAGCTGCTGCTAATTGTCCTTCAGATTCTCCTAGGGTTATATTATTTTACATGGCTGAAAACACAGAGTAAATTGTATACCATATTAGAGATGATTATTTCACATTTAAGAAATTTAAGTAATTCAAGGTGTAAACTACCTTGGCAAAAAAAATTATCCTTAAGGGAAAGTGTATTTAAATATTGGTTATGCATAAGAATTAAGATTTCTAAAACTAATTTATAAGGAAATTAAAATGTTCACCAGAAATATCTTACTGTGTAAGATTTTTTGAAACATGAGAATAATGACACAGTAGGATATTATTTTGTTCCTAATGCATGTGATAAGTTAAAACTTAAAGGAATATGTTCCTCATTTCTGGTTCTTTTAAAGATGATTTATGATCCTGAATAACAAGTTTATACTTTTTAATAGTAGATGCATTAATGGTGATAGTTCAATGTCATATTTTAGTTTATCCAGATTTTCAAAATAGATGCTTTACATTATTGCAAGAAGTTTGTCAAAGTTTGGTTTCATAAAGCACATGGTTTCTGACCAAGGAGAAAATTTTGTTAGGTTTAGTGGCTTCAGATGTAGTAGAATTGTGTGAACACATCTCACAAAAACATGGCAATAGATGAGCAATGTTAATCACATATTAAATTAGTTCCAAAATTATAGACAGGTCTCTGTGGGACGTGAAGTCTAATTAAAGTTTGAGGCATACCTTTCTTTTTTTAATGAGTTGTTTCTTTGGAGTGATGGTGTTCAGGGCTGATGTGGCCCGGTGTCAGAGAGGCGGAAGCTGTTGATCTTGGAGAATCGGCAGGCACAGCACAGCTTGCCAGAACACATGCTCTGAGTGTCAGAGATGCGTGCAGTAAAGTGTCCTTTGCCACAGTTCTCCGTGTGCCTGTCGGGGTCTTCAGAGTATATGTTTTGAAATCCAAAAGATGAGATCAGTGTTTCACGTTTGAGAACCTTAAGATCTTAAGTTGCGTTTTTCAGTAATGATGGAGTTCTCCACAGGTCATTACATATGGGATCTGTTAGAAGCTCAAGGAGAAAGAGGGATATACTTTAAATTCTTATTATAACAAACATGTATCATTCACATAGCGAACTGCATTTAGAATGATTTCAGAGCTACATAGTAGGACCGAATCTTACCAGCTGACTTAAATGCATGTGTGTGTTTTAGCACCTATGTTTATACTGATAATAATCTACATTATTTATAATCATTTACTATTTATTATTACTAAATTCATGGATGTTAAGGTCCTGTCTACTGTAAGACTCACAGCAACTTTTTAAAAAAAGATTTATTGAATTTTATTTGAAAGGCAGAATTACAAAGAGGGGAGACAGACAGATCTTCCTCATCTGGAAGAACGGCCACTTTTGCTTTGAGCAAAATCTTGCTAGTTACCCAACAGAATATGGTTTTCAGAGATTTTTAACATTGTCAGTTGTAATTGTATTTTTTATTTTCCTTTTAATACATATTTATGTCTTTTGTTTTCGTTGAGGAGGCTAAACCTGATGGGCTGGTTGCACATTCATCAGCAGGTAACCTCACTTAAAGCAGAATTTTTTTGTTTTTCTTCTTTGCCATCTCTCCTTTTTTCCCTCCTTTTTCCTACATATCTGGAAAATGAATTTTGTTTTGGGTTTTACTTAATGGCTCTGAAACACTGAAGATATGATTATATTTTAGGTTTAGAAAGCAAGCCATGAGCTTTATTGTTGAATTAATAAGTAAATACTATTTGGGGTTCATTATATAAGCTAGAGATAAGTCTGTGGAATGTTACATTAATTTTACTGAAATATGAAATAAAGTTCAATATGAAAATATGAAAATTTAGGTTTATGTTAAAGAGTTAATACAGTTTATCCCTTAGTAAAATGTTGATACTACCACCTGTCTGTAGCTGACGACTTTTTAGTGTATAATGTAATTTTAGGGATTCTCTTTCTTAAAGAATGAAGTAGTATATACAGTGATTACATATATAAGTTGATTGATTTTTCAGTTTTTGATTGTTCTTAACTGCTTGAAAACTAACTTTAACCAAAAAAAAAAAGGTATTTTTCTATGGTTGGTGTATTGCTATGAAGTAAGTAACTTGTGAATTGTGAAATCATGAGAACTTTGAAACAAGCATTTGTAGACTAAAAAAAAAAAAAAAAAGAAAACCTAAAAAAACACAAGTATTCGCACATTGTTTTGAGGTGATTCTCAGTATTGTTTTATGCTTAAACTATTATTTGTACCTTAGTCATAACGGACATGTTGAATTTCTAATAAAAATACTTTTTGTAATTGGCTATTAAACTTAATGTTGAATGTCTTAGCTAAAATGCATACAGTACAATGATGATAAATAATACAAATTTATCATGTATAAGTAGCATTATATTTAAATAACTGATATATGTTTTTGTAGAAATACAGTCTTTAGAACAACAATTAGAAGAAGCCCAAACAGAAAATTTTAATATTAAGCAAATGAAAGACTTATTCGAGCAGAAAGCAGCCCAACTTGCGACTGAAATTGCAGGTAATTTGAATCAGAGCTTTTTAGCCATTAAGTCCGTCTTTACCTTTTTACCATGATAAGTCTCAGAAATAAACATAGTGGGTTGGTGTGTTAAGCCTTTGTTCCAGACTGCTGTCATGCTGAGTGCGGTTTGACCTCCAAGATACTATGCAGGTCGTTTTGTCCTCCCGTTGCCTCCCTTTAAAGCATTGAAATTTCCCTTGTAGAGTCTTCCTAAAATTTGTAAATCTTTTGTGGTATGTTTGAGGATTAAACAGTAGCATTTAAGTGCAATTTATTAAATATTATATGTGTGTAAACCTTAGTTATGCTATCAGTCATGTATCTTGTTTTATAAAGTACGATCTGTTAGAAAAGGTACTACTGTTATTAAACCTGGAATTAAATACTAATTAGTAACAGGGTTGTTAGAATTTATGAAGTCAGAAACCTTTGTGTATTTTTAGGCTTATTATTTAATGCAATCAGAAGTATAGTTTTACTGTATTTATAGTTATCTAAGGAATCTGAATTTGAATTAGAGTGATATATGGGTATACAGAGAAGTATATAGGAATTCACAAATTATGCTCCCCCAGAATTGGTATTATGAAACTAGTACTTATACAACTATCTTTACATAGATGTTAAATCAAAATATGATGAGGAAAGGAGTCTTCGAGAAGCCGCTGAACAAAAAGTGACACATCTGACAGAAGAGTTAGACAAAGGGACAGCTCTCATTCAAGATCTGAAGACTGAGCTGGTAATTAGGAACTGTGTGTTAGGATGTACTTTCATTCTTTTCTAAATAAAAACTGAAATATGTGTTCTGAAGAAGTATTTAAAATGTAGTTTAAATAAAAATGAGGAATTAGAAAACTCCCTATATGTTGCCACTTACATTTGTGTATATTGTATGTATGATTTTTAAATAAAAATGGAATATTGTATAATATTGCCAAAACATTTTCATTGTTTCTACACACACACACACACACACACACACACACACACACACTTATATATTGTTTCCAAATCTATTTCTTCAAAGATTTACTTTATATATATTTGAAAGACAGTTACAGGCACCCAGCGCGGTAGCCTAAGCGGCTAAAGTCCTCACCTGGCATGCATCAGGATCCCATATGGATGCAGTTCTAATCACAGCAGCCCCACTTCCCATCCAGCTTCCTGCTTGTGACCTGGGAAAGTGGTCAAAGACAGCCCAGTGCCTTGGGACCCTGCACCTGCGTAGGAGACCTGGAAGAGGCTCCTGGCTCCTGGCTTTGAATCGACTCAGTACTGGTTATTGTGGTCACTTGGGGAGTGAATCAATGGATGAAAGATGTTTGTCTGTGTCTCTCCTTCTCTCTGTGTATCTGATCTTGCAATAAAAATAAATGAATCTTTAAAAAAAAGACAGTTACAGAGCAAAGGAGAGATACAGAGAGAATTTTCATCTGCTGATTCCCTCTCTAAATGGTCTCAGTGGCCAAAACTGAGCTCATCTGAGGCCGACAGCAGCCAGGAGCTTCCTCTGTGTCTCCCATGTGGGTGGAGGGGCTTGAGGACTGAAGCCACAAACAGGAAGCTGGATAGGAAGTGAAGCAGCTGGAACTCGAGCCTGTAGTCATACGGATGCCAGGTGAGCCCACTACACCATGGTGCTGGCTCCATCCCATTATATGGATCTTTGATTTTCACATTACTTAGCTTTTTAATTTTATAAATGCATTAGGATTTGAATTTTTCTGGCTGAGTGCCTAGCTTTCCTTCCAAGTTGAAGAGGCGTAAAACCAGTCACTATATTCCCTCTGTAACTGTTTTCATTGCTACCATATCTCTTCAACAGTTTCCCCCAGTCATAACAACTTTAATCTGTCCTTGAGTTCTTTCCTTTGCGTAGGACTCAACAAAAATTTGAACAAATGAATTAACTGCCTCTAATCTGCAGCGAAAATTAATTATGCTTTTATGCTGCTGCTTTATTTCCATTACTAGTTTCCTGTGATAGAAAAGAAAGGAGTCTTATTTGTAACGTTAGTGTTTTGGCCCATGTATGTAGTTTGTGAAGGACAGGAAAGCAAACAAAGCGGAAGTGATAATTGTGGATTTGCTAAATTGTACCTTGAATGGTAACACTAGTACACAGAAGACGGAATGGGAAGGGGAGGTGGCCCATTGGAGGAAAGATAGCAGTGTCAGATGCTTAATCCAAAAACTCATAATAAGGATTGTCTTCATTTTGGTTTCTTTTTACGGAAGCAGGCCTATGATGGTTATTATTTTATTTTTTTGCTGCGCTAATTAAAATGTGTTGCATCCCAGCTTCAGAGACCTGGCATAGAAGATGTTGCTGTGCTGAAGAAAGAACTAGTACAAGTTCAAACACTAATGGATAATATGACCTTGGAACGTGAGAGAGAATCTGAAAAACTGAAAGATGAATGCAAGAAATTACAAGCAGAATACGCCAACTCAGAGGTAATACAATTTGCTGAGCCTGTACTCATATAGTGTACATAGTGGGTTTAGTCAAGGTTTGAAATTTGTCTGAGCTTCCCCCTTGCCCAGAGGTTAACGGTTGCGGACATTTCGGGCATGGAGCCAGTGGTTGATAGAGATAGGAGCTCTGTTTCTGCCTCTATCTCTTTCTGCATACCTGTTCTGTACTGCTCAAAAAAGTAAATAAATACATATTTTTTAAAAATGGTAATTTTTTGAGTAATACATGTGTTTGTGAAGCAAATGGAATACTAAGGGAACTAATGTGTTTACTAGCATTTAAAATATGTTTTATATATATTAAATATGGAACATATTATAGCTTGGTAATGGGAAGATATTTCTGAGTAATGTTAATGAATTGCTGATGGATTTCACCGTTCTTATAATGTGGGAGAAAACAGCGGTGAGGGAGAAGGGGGAGGAAGGGGGGTTGTGTAGGGAAATCCTTATGCCTACAAAATTGTATCAGGGATAACAATAATAATTAAAACATTTAAAAAGTGAAAAAGGAATGAATACAAATTTAACTTGGATTATTTTATGAATTAAAAAATTAATGTATATTAATACAAAGGGGTCAGTTAAGATAAAGCATTTCTAGCTAGAATTGTAAGATTTAAGGTGAAACAGTTTAATTTTCTGTATCTTTGTCTCTCTGTATACAAGTCTAACGGTAGGAAACAATGATTTCTTCTCCCAAGAAACACGTGTGCTTCTAGAAAAGAGGGAAGGTGACTTAGAAGTTAGTTTTCCACATCTTAAATTTTAATGAAGATTTGTCATTTAAGGCATTTTGAAATAAATTTTAAAAGGAGTTTATCTTATTAATGAATTACATAGGGATTCAATATCTCCTATTTTTTTTAAAACAAAGATATCTCTTCTTCACTTCATTAAAAAATAAATAGGTAATGATGAATGCAATCCTATGCTGTTAAATTATTGATAACTTTGGCCGATGATAGCATAAGAGTCAGACTAATTTTTAAACATGGAACTCTTGTTTTATAAATACCACTAAGTTTTGGATATTATGCTGTTCACTGTAAATATGTGGTTTCATTTGTTTCTTATAACCCTGCAAGTTACATATGAGGTCTGTTTAACATGAGGCAGCCTGGTTCCTTGAGGTAAAGTAATTTGTTTAAAGTCATGAGCCTAGCAGGAGAATGCTAAAGTTCTAATCTAGATCAAAGTCTATGTTTATACTTCCATATTATGTCACCATTTCATGTGGTCTGATGGTTGCTTTCTAAGGAAATTTATAAGTAAATCTTTTCCTAATGTCTTATTATGTTTTTATTTTTCCATAATGTAATTTGTGGCACCTGTACTGCATAATAGCCTGAAATATTTTGTGTTGCTTCTTATTACCATATCCATATGAAAGAATTACTTCTTAATTACTTTATGTCATGTGTTCGTTTATAACTACATTAATTTTGTAGCTTTTGTTTATTCTAATTGTATGGCATGTATTTTATGATAGTACTCCAAACGTTTTTGGAAGAGTAGAATTAAAAGTATAATTAATTTTGGTATAAAATTTTGAAAGTCATGTAGTTTTTTCTTAACACCCATTTTCTACATTATAAGGAAAAGGCATTTTTGAACCAAAATTAAATCATTTTAAATCAATTTTCACATTATTTAAATTCAGTTATATTTGCTTTCAATTAGTTAAGTTGATAAAATTATGGCAAATAAATTAATAGAAAAACTTTTTATTATGTATGTGGCTTTTCCTGAACCTAAATATTGGACTCAAAAGGAAAGCACTTTAAAATGAATAAAGAAGCTTAAAAAATGCAATTTTGGACTATCTCTAGGCTGAAGGTAAAGATCTGTCATACACTGTGAAGTGCTTATGTTTGCTACTTTCATTGAGTGTACACCTTATGAGTGTACAGACTTTGTCTATGCATGTTTTAATGAGTAAGGATGATAACTCTTTTTAATTGGACTGTTTAGATTTAGTTTTTTTTTTTTTTTTTTTTTTTTTTTGGTTTTTTTTTTTTTGTTTGTTTGTTATTGGAAAGACGGATATACAGAGAGGAGAGACAGAGAGGAAGATCTTCCGTCCGATGATTCACTCCCCAAGTGAGCGCAACGGTCGATGCTATGCCGATCCGAAGCCAGGAGCCTCTTCCGGGCCTCCCACGCGGGTGCAGGGTCCCAAAGCCTTGGGCCGTCCTCAACTGCTTTCCCGGGCCACAGGCAGGGAGCTGGAAGGGAAGCAGGGCTGCCGGGATTAGAACCGGCGCCCATATGGGATCCCGGGCGTGCAAGGCGAGGACTTTAACCACTTGCGCCACCGCGCCGGGCCCTAGATTTAGTTTTAAGGTTAAAAAGAATTATTTCTATAAGTTCTCATGATTGAAAATATTGATGCTATGATGAACTTGTGATTTCCAGTGGGAATGATTTTAGATAATTTAATTTGCATTCCGATTAAAGTCATTTGAATTCCAGTTTTGAGCGCAATGGTGTTACTACAAATGTGAAATAACTATAATTATACTCATGTATTATAAATAGAATACTTAACTGTTTTTTGAAAGGATCCCAGTTTGAAAAACCAGATCTGTAGGTATGTGTGGACATTTTCATTATGTGCTCAGTGTATAATTTGTCATTCTTGTCTTTCACCTTTCATCCATCATTTTGTTGTTTTTCTGCTTTCAAATGGAGATGCTTAAACTTGAGGTAATGTGTTTCTGGAAGATTTTTTAGTATTAATAGTATCCTTAATATGCCACCTCCTATCGTCATATGGAATTTTGTTTAAAATAATCTTGTAATTTCAAAGGCGTGCTTGTTTTTGTTCTTCAAATCATACTTTGAATCATCTTTAAATGATTATTTACTAGCAACAGCAAAACCTTAAAACAGTTATTTTAAAGCCCCCTAGGGATGTATGTTTGAAACATGGTTTCTCGTTTGTTATGTAGTTGCAGGGTTTCTTTAGTTAAAAATTCAGTGTTGAATTTAATAATGTAATGCATTTAATAATAGCATCAAGGAAATGCTAATCTAGCAAGATAAGATGATAATATACATGGGAATAAATGAATATTAACGTCTTGATGAGAGAACAACTCATTCTTTCAGCTAGTGTTTTCTGAGGCCTGCTAAGTAGCAGAACTACCGTAGAAATGGGGAATATAATACAGAACGAAACAGTTCATGATCAGGTAAGGCTTGTATTCCTTTCAGGAAACCAAGCAAAATGTGATAAACCTAATTATGATGGAAGAATCAGTTAATAGTAAATACCGTGAAGAAGAAAAAGAAAACACCTTTTTTTGGGCTGTGTGAGGCTAGGAGTCATGTGAGGCAGTTTTAAATAGAATAGTCGGGGAAGACCACCTCCAGAATGATAGCAGTGAGGAGAATGAAGTTAGCCAAAGCTGGGGTTGGTGTTGGGAGGAAGGATTCCCAGGCAGATGCTGGAGCAAGTGTTCGTCCAAGGCATCGATGAGCGAGAAGTAATCAATGTGGCTGGAGCACAGAGCTCTTGCTTTGGGTTTTGCTGATTGTGAGCAATGTCAGAAGAGGGAATGTACTTTTGTTTTCTGGAAGCTTATTTTTCCTGAAGTCTAAGCACATGATTCTTGTGAAAGATTATAGTGATTCATAATATGCAATAGAAAAGAGTCTTCTTTAACTCGGTCTTCTCCCCTTCTTTATAACTAGCCTAGTTTTGATGACAGGTTTCTTAGGTGTTTCTTTTTGTCTCTGAATATTTGAAAAATTTTAATGTTTACATTTACACTTAGAAACATTTTAGTTTTTGAAGATACCTGAATTACTTTACAAAAGCTAACTGAGACACATACTGTTCGGTTCTCTGGTGTTAATCTTATAAAAGCATAAGGGCATGTGTAAATGCTATAAAACTTAAAATGATGTATTTTTAGTATATTTGTTCTATATTTGCTTATTTAATTTTTTCCTCCATTTTGTAATTTGCCAGCAAGCTAGACTTAATGTTACATTTGGCTTACTACATTTTATTATTTATTTATTTATTTATTATTTATTTAAAGAATCATTTTATTTGAAAGGAGAGAGAGAGAGAGGACAGACAGACACACAGACAGATGCTAATATCTTCACTCCCTGGTTTGTTTCTTAAATACCTGTGGCAGCCAGCGCTAAGCCAGTCCTGGTCTACCGCATGGACTGTAGGGAGCCCAGCACTGGAGCTTCCCGGGGTGAGGGTGCATGTTGGTAAGAAGCTGAGTCAGAAGAGCTGATTCTCAGTCCTGAGCCCCTGCCACATGGGGCACGGGCATCCCACGTGCCATCTTAGCTGCTGTGCTGCGTACTTCCCCAAAGCACAAAACGTTGTCATCTTCAGCCTGAAATAAGGTATTGTAATGTAGAAGGCAGTTTCTTTTTTTTTTTTAATCAAAAAACCTATGCAAAATCCTTTAAAAGTAAGGATTTAAATGAGTTAATTTTCTTTTGTGATCAGTTGATTTTTGTGCTGTATGATTAAAACATGAAGAACAACTTAAAAAGCCATTCTGTTTCTATTGTTTCTGTTCTGTTAACATCCATCATTTTACTAACAAAATGATTCTGAGATTTTATGTTGTTAAAAAATAGTAATTTGAAGTGAGCTCTCCAGTATTTGTAACTGTGTCAAAAATAGGTGATCAATTTAAAATGGATGGTATGCCTTTAATTTGAATATAGTTGAAAATACATAAATATTTAAACATTTTCTTCTTTGAAGTATATGAAACTGTCAGTTTAACAACTCTTATATATATATATATATATATATATACATATATATATATAATCTTGAAGCACCTTGAATGAAGTATAACCATAAAATACTGTGAGAAAATGCCTTTTGACATTTAAATGAACGGTTAGACAGGCACCTGTTCATACATCTTGCCATTCCTAAGAGCATTGTTTTGAACTTTCTTTTAATTTAATCTAAACTAATTTAGAAAACACTCAAAACTAGTTTCATTAATTTACGGTTAGTATTAAGCTCAGATTTTTCATCATTCAGTCTAGTCATTTACCTTGTTTACTATGAGGTATTTAAAACCAAGGCCAGCATCAGTAAATAATGATATACTACACTGAGAAACCTTAGAAGAAAATGTGTGGCATACTTTGGGAGGATTTCCAAAAGCGGAGTCATGGAAGAGCTCTAAAGCAAAGGTGCTACTCTCGCAACGAATTCTTTTCTTTCCAAGGTCTCTTCCTAGAAGATCAAAGTGTTTATTTGTACTGTGTAATAATGTAAAGCTATTGGCATGTTTAATAAATGAACATTTTCAAATGCATGTCCTATTCATAATATAGAGTTTATTCAGAAACTTAGACAATAATTGAAACGTTAGAAATAATTGTAAATTTTAGAAATGTAGAAAGTGAAGCCAGTAAGCATGTTAGAGTAAGAAGTTCTAAAGAAGGTGGAGGGGAGAATCCTATACCTGCAGACCTGGATCATGGAAAATTATGATAAAAATGTTTTAGATTAAATTAAAGTTCTTTGTTAATGCTGTTAGTAAGAAACTGTATTTCTAAGGCAATAGTCTTTTTCCCTAGTGGTTGAGCTTCATAGGAAGCTTGTGTTTCCAAGATCATTGCTTGTCTGTCATTTCTATTTTTTTAATGTGTAAATGATCATTTTAATGTGAAACATTACTTTCATGTTCTTAAAAGTTTTTTTGAATGCACAAATACAAATTTTTGTTTAGCTTTAAGCTCTGACTTTAAAACAATTAAGTGATTTCCCCACAATGAAATATATATATATGTATCTTAAAAGAGAGTTTATGCTGTAGAAGTTGGGAGAAATGGGCGTAACTTGAATATCCCCTTTAAATTCAGAAGGAATAAAGTATACTGTTGCAAGGCCATTAATTAAAATTGCAGTTCACTGTTTACTTCAGGCACATTAAATGTCAGTGTTTAAGTTCAGGTTTGCTAAATAAATGAAATTGTACATCTTGAATACATTTTAAAAACTAGTTTTAACGCCTTTCCCTCACCTCCCCCGACAAAGTGTGAAGTACCAGCAAGAGTGATAGTATGAGAGACAGTTAAAATTCTCAATTTACAACGGCAGCACATGGCTATGTAACTTCAATGTAGTTCTTTCTTTGTGTTTTTAGACCACAATAAACCAGCTAAGAAGTGAACTTGCCAAGGGCCCCCAAGAAGTTGCTGTGTATGTTCAGGAACTACAGAAGCTGAAGGATTCAGTTAAAGAATTAACTCAAAAAAATCAGGTAATGATTTTAAAGCCATTTGTTGTCGTGAATTGATTTTATATGCCTTGAATTTAATCTTCCATATTTTATCTGTATCGTAGTTCAATACTGTTACTTATTTCTGCATATATTTTAGCATATTTTTATTCACATTGTTGTACAAAACAGTTTCCAGGACTGTTTTTATCTTGGGAAACTGAAGCTGTTGATTAAACATTAAAGTCAAGGGGGTTGTATCTGTGGATGCAGAGTCCAGTTTAGGAAGTATAGGCATCACAAGGTGAGAACTGGGAATACACAGTCTGTGGCCTCTGTCTGTCCCTTGTGAAGGAAATGCCATTCAATCCTTGGAGCTCCACTCTGATAGCCTTATGTGATCTTGTTCACCTCTCAAGCCTCTTGGCCAACACCACGGGTTCTATCCTCTAGGTGTGTCGCAGTGGGAGAGACAGACTGGGAGAGAAGCTTAGGAAGAAGAGCAACCAGGAGTTGGCAGCAAAATTAGCCAAGAGACATGTACCTTGGCCAGTCAACAAAAACAGAAAAAAGAGGCGGTCACCTTTTGATGAGAAACCACACTCCTCATGATTCAACTATATGCTAGAAAATTATCTTTCCATAAACATTTCTATTACTAGTTAGTAAACTTGAATCTTTCCTGACAGCATTTTACGTTTATTATCTGGAAAAACACTGAGTTTAAAACATACTAAATAAAGTCTATTCTTATATCTTTGCTTGTATCTCCCACAATCAGAGTCTTGAAAGGTTCATGGAAATATGTATTCTGAAAGCATGATGCGTGGATTTTACTTCTTTTGCACCAAAATCCTTATTCTTTTTTTTAAGTTTTATTTATTTGTTTTAATTGTTATTAAGATTGTATTATGTGATACAGTTTTATAGGCACTGGGATTCTCCCCACCCCTCCCACAACCCTCCCCCCATAGTGGATTCCTCCACCTTGCTGCATAACCACAGTTCAAGTTCAGTTGAGATTCCTTCATTGCAAGCATATACCTAGCATAAATTCCAGCATCTTATTGTCCAGATAAGTTCAGTGGCTTCTTGGGGAGACCTTTTCTGGTATGAAGGTAGAGCTAACAGAGTAAAGTTCCGGTCAGTTAAAAGCCCCAACAAAACATCAGCATCAATATACAATGTTATGGAATTAATTGACATAGTATTGAGTAAACAATGTGTTAAAAATAATGCAAGTTCAATTCTTCAAAACACCTGGGTTGAGACAGTATTAATGACAGGTTCAAAAAGTAACAAACAACCAAACAAAAATTACAGGTTAAATCAAGGCAAACAGTGGTATCTAACCTTTTGGGATTCGCTCATTTCCCTTTGCATTATAGTTTCCAGTTGGGCCCATTTAGCCACAAAGAACTGCATTTTGGTTTTTTTTTTAATAGCTGAGTAGTATTCCATTGAGTAGATGAACCAAAGCTTTCTTATCCAATCTTCTGCTGATGGGCATTTCGGTTGCTTCCATGTTTTTGCAATTACTGATTGTGCTGCTATGAACATAGGGGTGCATGTTGGTTTGTCGTGAAACAGGCGTTTTGGATATATTCCCAGGAGTGCTATTGCTGGGTCATATGGTATGCAGATTTTGAGTTGTTTGAGTGTTCTCCAGACTGATTTTCATAAAGGCTGTACCAACTTGCAAAGTCCTTATTCTTTAAATTCCTTTTTCCCATGTTTTTTGAAGTATTGATATCATCTTTCTGGATACTGCTTTTCTATAGTATATTCTTACCTAATGATTTATAGTAACTCACTTATTCTCAAATGTTCAAGAACCTTTATTGCTGTTTTTGCCAGATTATTACCTCGACTTATTATGCCCCGTGTGGCAAAAGGATTGCTATTTTCGCAACTATAATTTGTGTATACTTTTTATAGAACACGTTGCATGAATCATAAATATATATATGTACTAGTTAATTCTTCTCACTACTTGTAAAATCAAGCTCAAACTTCCTTATTTTCAGGTGCTTTGACTTTTACTTAATTGTACACTTAAGAAATTTCACACAACAATTTCATTTCTTGGGCCTTAGTTTTTAATACTTTGGAAAGACTTTTTAAATGTCTGTTTTTTTTGCGTAGGTGGTAGTCTGTTCATGGTACAAAGGCTTTGATGGTTCTCTACCGTGTATTACCACTCTCTACCACCAGGCATGTAATAACCCATCTACTGATCGACTCCATCTCATGCTTACAGTGACTTCTCCTGGCTGCTTATATCACAGAATTAGGTTAAAAATTCTGATCTACATTTTATGTGTAAATATAGTGCCTTAAAATGTTCAGTATTGATTGTAACCATTTTACTGAGATTGGATTTTGACATCTGATTAGGCTGCTTGATTCAGATTTTTGATTTGAGGTATAGTTTTTATATTGTTGAGTAGAGCAATAAAATATAAAGCGAGAAAATGATATTTAGGTCATTTACATGATTAAAAAGAAATTTGAATTAGTTTAAACTTGCAATTCATAAAGAATGTTCTGTCTGAAAAAAAGGAGGGAAATGCAAGCGGTAGGTATTAATAGGTATACTGTGACGGTGGATGGTATTATTATATTAAAGCTGTTGCTGTAAAATTGCAAGGCCAGAATTTAAAATTGTTATGGCATATTACTAATAAAAACAATTCTGTTTGTAGAAAGTAGCTTCAATTTTAAATTAAATGAAGATGCGAATATGTTGAATACCGCTGAAGAATATAGGAAACTTTTTCATTTTATACTTGCATTTTTTCCAGCTATTACATTCTATCAATAAAATTTATTTAAGTGGACTAATGATAAAGTCCTATTGGTCTGAGATAATGTAATTCTTTTTGACTAGAATATTTATTTTCACTATTGTAATGTTGATTAGAACACTTCTCAGGAGATGGCACTACTCTAAAAATTGCTTGAATAATTGGAGTAATTAAAAATGGGAAGGAAGTAAATTGTTGAACTGATATTTCAGAACTTGACAGAAAAATTGCTCAAGAAAGAACTGGACCATACCCAGTTAGAAGAGAAATATAATGAAGAGTCTGTGAGTAAAAAGAATTTACAAGCATCGCTTCATCAGAAAGACCTGGATTGTCAACAGCTTCAGTCAAGGTTGTCTGCATCTGAAGCTTCGTTGCAGAGAACACAGGCAGAACTGAGTGAAAAAGGAGAAGCTGCACAGAGGATCAAAGAAGAACTATCTGAAGTAGAGACCAAATACCAGCACCTTAAAGCAGAGTTTAAACAGCTACAGCAGCAGAGAGAAGAAAAGGAACAGCATGGGTTACAACTCCAAGGTGAAATTAACCAAGTAAGAAACATTCATTCATTCTATTATAATTCTATGGTTTTATCTTAGTGTGCTTGATGATTATTTGATCATAAAGCAGTATGTATTAAAAATGTCACCTAAAAATGTACTTTTATTTTTTTTATTCCAAAGTGTTCTTGCATCTCATTTCTTTTTATTTCACTTTTCTCTAAGAAAAACAGTGACAATATCTTCATTATGAAGTGTTTATAAAGTAAAACATATTTATTGTGAAACCAGTAGTGGGGCTGATGTTGTGGCACAGTGCGTTAAACCACCACATGTGGTAGCAACATCTCATGTAAGAGTGTTGAATTGAGGCCTGGCGATCCCGCTTCTGATCCCACACCCTGCCAATGCACCTCTGAAAGCCACAGGAAATATGCAAGCACTTGGATCCTGCCTCCTATGTGGAAAACCAGGATTTAGCTCATAGCTCCTGGCTTTGATCTGGTCCAGAATTGTCTTTGGCAACCATTTGTGCAAGTTCTTATTCTCTGTCTCTATTTTTCTGTCTCTCCTGATTATCTTGCATTTAAAATAAAGTACATAGTGTTTTAATAATAAAAAAGCATAGTATAAAGCTGGATGTTTAAGAAGCAGAAAACAAATTAATCCTAATACAGTTACTCTAAGTAAAATCCTAATACAGTTAATCAGCTGATGTTTGATGCTTGTTTTTGCTTTGCCACCAACTTAAATTTTTAATACTTACATTCTAGTTATTGCTTATACAAACATTGAAAATTGGTTGAAAAAATGAATGTTGGAGGAACATTAAATCCATCAGCCACATTTTCCAACTGTTCTTACTTCAGTGGCAGTAAAGTGCTACTTTATTGCAATTACTTGGTGGCTTTCTACTTCTCTAGGTTTAGTGATGTTAATACTTCGGCTTTACTCACTAATTTGTTGAACTTCGGTCATATTTCAGGAGTTAAAGTACTTCCTATGTGCTCTCACTGATACAGTGGATCTGAAGTGCTAGCACAGTGTGTTTAGTTTGTCTTGCTCCCTGTGTCCCCTGCCCTGCCTCTCATCTTAACTTGAACCCACTCTGTCAGCCGCCGGCTGAGCTCTGTGCTTTCAGCCTTGTGCCTGTCCGGAGGACACTCCATGTGCCGGCCAGAGGAGTTGACTTCACCAAAGATCTCTCCAGGTTCCAGCCACACCTCAAACCCTGTAGTAACTAGAGTTCAGTGGGTTCAGTTCAGGTACCTTGTTAGGACATCCAAGTGTCTCCAGTGATCTTATTATCCTGCCTCCATTACAGAAATGAAGGCGTGTACTTGATGTTTTCCACATTATGTCTTGCTTTTGTTCCAGTATTTAGTGTGTCTTCTTAAGACATTCTTATTCCTTTTCAGCTTCTTAAAAACTGCTTTCCTCAGCTTCAGGATGGCTTAAGTATGCATATATAATGAATTCTTACTTACCACAGTTTGGTAGGTTAACATGATTCATGACTATCTTCCGTGGATGCCAAAACTGTGTCTTAACTCATTTTTCATACTCAGTACCTAGTATCTGTTTTTCTGGTTATGTTAGAGAAAATAATTTAAGAAATTTATGGTGATTATCTCCAGAAAATCTCTCCTTTTGTTTTAATTGGATGGCGTTTTAGTTACTTAAAATAATTATTTCTTCCATTTTACATAGAATTTATGTACCAATTTGAAGACACAGGACTGCGTTGAGTTCTTTTAAATTACCCAGCTGTAGTGAGTCAGCTCTCCTGGCTATTAAAGCCAGCAGTATGAAAACCAACAAATATCATTGTGGAATTTTAAAAAACAATGTGTAACAGGTGCCTGGAGTGTCTTAATTTTTAATTTTTGCTTATTGTATATTCCTTGAATGATTCTAATACTGACATCTAAATGACCTGGTCCCATCTATTTTTATCTTGTTTGTTTTTAAAGAACCATAAATAAAAACCATAAAAGTGGTCATTTCAAAATTCTATATAAGCTGTTAGAGTTGATGTGATTAAAACTTAATTTCCAGTGGGCATTTGGATTGGTGGTTAAGCAACCAATTAGGACATGCACATCACACATTGGCTGCTGGCTCTGGCCTCTGCTGGCTTCCTACCAGTGCAGACCTCGGGATGCAGTGGTGATGGGTCAGCTAGCTGGTTTTGTCCTGGATTTAGTTACTGGCTCCTAGCTTCATCCTTGACCACTGCAGCCATCTGTGGAGCAAGATAATACATCACAGCTGTCTTTCTATTTCTCTGCTTGTGTTCTGTGTATCTCAAATCAATGTTTTCTGAAATGTGTTATTAAAATGAGGTGCTTTTGCAAAACATTGGAAAGTACGTGGTGTGTGTGTATACATATGTATGCACTTTTTTTTTTCCTTCAAGTTACACAGCAAACTTCTGGAGACAGAGCGCCAACTAGGGGAAGCACATGGTAGGCTGAAGGAGCAGAGACAACTTTCCAGTGAAAAGCTGAAGGATAAAGAACAGCAGGTGGCTGATTTACAACTCAAACTTTCCCGTTTAGAAGAACAGGTAGGCTGACATTTCAGAAGATCTTAAAATAGCAAATTAGTTGATAGACTTGGAGCATTTTAGATCCTGTTGTGTTTCATCAAACATTTACAATTGTCAAGAGCCATGACTGAACTTAAAAAAAAAGAAACTTTGAATTGCAGCATGTCTTTTTCTCCATTAGAAGCATGTTGCTTGTTAACTACATTCAATCATTTGATTATAAGCGTATTCCTTAGCAGAGGTGGGCGTAGGGGGCTACGTAAAGCAAGATTTCTGAGGATGAACCTCGTCTTCGAGGACGCTCCATTCAGTAATGGGATCTTGAAACAAATGCCATAAAATTATTTTTTTTCCTTTGAAATTCCAACTTGTTAATGAATAGTTGGTAAAGATAATTAATGACATATATTTGGTACATATTAACTTTGAATTGCATTTGAGGATTTCCACTTCTGAAAATGAAGAATATAATTGAATGTTCTATCCTAATTAAATACATGTTATTCTAATTAAAGATGCAGTTGCTAAAAATGTTGCATTTTTATGACTAGAGTAAATTTTATTTAATTATCTCTTATTGAAATTGAACAAATATGCAAGTTAAAAGCTATAGCTTTAACAACAGCTTGTTTTCTAGACTTACAATCTTAGGTATAGTAGATAATCCTTTTCCAGTGAGGAGAAAAAAAAGAAACACTTATATGCTTATAAATCATTTAGATTCAATTCATTCCTTGAACATGTTTGCATATAAAAAAAAATAATAAAATAGATACTGTACTGAGAAAGGCTTGTGTTCTTTTTAGAATGAGAGTATTTCTAAGAGACTAGTTTATTAATCATGAGTTGAAGTTTCTGTAAAGTTGATGTTATATATTTACAAGATACATTTTTCTGCACATACTTGAGAATTGAAGTATTGTGCGATATTTATGAATGATAGCATTACACTTGGAAGTTCTCAGTGACAGTATCTCTGTTTTTTTTAAAGTTAAAGGAAGAAGTAACAAATTTCACAGAGTTGCAGCACCAGTTAGATAAAACAAAGCAACAGCATCAGGAACAGCAAGCTCTTCAGCAAAGCACTACAGCAAAACTCCGAGAAGCTCAGGTAAATATCATTTGAATTCTTAACCTTTTAAACAAAAATTTAGCGACATCCTTCTTTTGTTGTGTAAGCCTAGGCAAAATGCTTGATTCTGAGAAGCTTTGGTAAATTTTCGTAGTTACAAGTTTTTTTTCTAAGATGGTTTGAAATGATTTTAAACTTTTAGTATTACATTTATGAATAAATTTTTATTAAATTTAAGTTATTTTCTTAATAGATCTGCTAGATGTAATTAGCTAAATCAATTATAAGTAATCATTAGTTTAGTTCCTAATTTGTAAAAAAAAAGTTCAAATAATATTTTTTGTTGTAGTTAACCCATTACAAAAAAAAAGATATTTTGTATTTCCTACAGTAAAATTTGATATTTGTCATGTCTTTTCCTGCTTCATAACCATCATGAGAAGATTGAAATTGTAGGTATAGAAAATATTGCTGAGTGAGGTAAATTCATACAGATTTTTCAGCATAGCTGAGAAGATTGAAGAAAGTTTTAGTTTTATTATGGCAAAGCGGGGCTATCCTAATGTTTGAAATGAGTTTGATAGTCATTCCTCAATTCCTTGATTAATTCACTTAATAATATTGAATGCTGTATGTTAGGAGCCATCTTCAGCAGTGAAAGTACAGACATAGTACCTGCCCTTTGACATGGCAGCTTATTGATAGGTGTATAAACACAGTGTTGGAGTCTGAGGGAGACAGGAGTTAAGGCAGCATGGAAATCAGATGGTTAATTCAAAGTACTGGATTCTTTTTTTTTTTTTTTAAGTTAGCAGGCAGCAGGTCTACTTTCTTAGAACTTAATGAGGGAGGCAAACAACAAACCAGGTAAATAGATGGAATGTGCAATGTGTGAGGTGATGAGGAGTGCTATGGAGTTGACAAAAGGAGGCGTGGGGGAGTTGGGAGGTATCTGCAGAGCTGAAAATGGGACTGCAGTGGTAAGCATTTTCAGAAGGATGAGAGAGTGTGAGCCATGCAAATATCACAGAGAAATATGCTGATAGTACATGAAGAGATCCTGAGGCAGGAACTTGCTTCAGGAGCAACAGGAAGTCAGTGACTGGAGTAGTGTGAGTGGCTCAAATGAAGGCCACAGATCACAGGTTATCAGAACCTGCAGAGAGGCTCATTGGTAATTTAAGGACTTTGTTTTACTCAGGTTAGAGTAGAAATCAATTAGAGGGTTCTTAGGATAGGCGTGATGTGATCTTATTTTGTCTGCTCTGATGGCAGTGGACTTGAGAGGTACCTAAGTAGATACTGAGAGACAACTACAATATTCCAGGCAAGAAGCTACGTGGCTTAGACCAGAGTAGAAGCAGTACAGGAAGTGAGAAGTGGATATATTGTAGTTGTGTTTTACAGGGAGTTTGGCAAAGGGCATGAGTTGAGTGGGTTTTCTTATTAATGTGCCCCAACTTCTTGTAGGCAGACTGTTTTTCAAACAGCCAGGCTGAAGCCAAGAAGCCTCAAGCTTCTGGGTCTCACACATGGGTGCAGGGGTCCAAACACTTGGGCCATCTACTGCTAATATCCCATGTGCCTAAGCAGAGAATTGGATCAGAAGTGTAACATCCATGTCTCAATCCAACACCCATATGGGATGCTGGTATGGAAGACAGTGACACCCACTGCACCACAATTCTGGCTCCAGTAGACTTCTTACAAGTGAAAGTATAAGTCATGAAGAATAGTTATTTGTGGGTGCAGAGATAACATTAGGTGAGTAATTCAAGCAGAAGCTACAAGAAACAAGGATTCTGAGGCTAGTATAAGCTATTGGATTTTGGTGGAACATGAAGTGTGAGATAGGAAGCAGAGAAAATGCTAAAACATATGATAAGGGAAAGTTTTGGAGGACCTTATGTGATATTCATAATTAAAGATCTGAAGGTATTAAAAGCCTTAGAAATGTAGTAGATTTGCTTTTAAAAAGATTATTTTTGCAGCTGTATAAAGTTGGGTTTAGAAGGAAATATTCTTCAACAGAACAACTAAGATATTGATTTACTTAGCAGTCCATTCCTCTCACCCCAACTGAATAGTACCCTGTTTCAAGCAGTTGTTAAAATCTTAGGGACAGATGTCAGATGTTCTTGAAAAGTAAAATCAATAAGACTTGTTAATAGATGCAGAATATGAGGGACAAAGGGGGTGACATTGACAGCTTAGTAAAGCAGTGGTATCAACCCTGTTAGTAAGCATGAAAGAAATGACCATTACATTTGAAGTTTGAGTGTGAATGTGAATTGGAAGCAACTAGAGGGAAGTTTGAGGGGGTGAAAGAAGCTTGAACGTGTTTATAGTTTAGGACCAAGGGGTTCATAGTCAGGAGTTACTGAAGAAGAGGTGACTGCTTGGTAGGATACCAAGAGCCTATGTTGTTGCTGGTGCTATGGAATGGAGTGTGAATTTGAATTTACCCATGGATTTTTGAGGGAACATGTATAAATATATACACACACTTATACACACATGTGGAGATGGAGAAATCAAGGATTGTTCTTGAAAATCAATGTTGGAGATACCATACCTGAATATTAGAGAAGTGAGAATTAGGTAAGTTAAAATAAATATTGATGCTGTTAAGTGGCTAGTAAGGGGGATATTTGAGAGTAAGGACCTCATTCAAATGCAAGGCTTAAAAAAAGTAATTCCAAGTATGTAGCACGGATTGGGACTCAGAAATTTGTAGTGGCACAGTTTTGTGGAGGTTGTGTTTTTGCTCTAACAGTGTGAAAAAATCAGATTATAAGAGATTCAGGGTTAGACTTTTGGAGGGTAACTTTCTTGGAAATTAATGTAGTTGAAAGTATAGTTTATTTCATTTTCATATGTTAGACTTGAAAAGTAAGTGTAAGAATGTGCTGAATAAGCTAGAAGAAAATTGAGGTCTCTGACACTGAAGAGCCAGAATGAGGTCATGAAATTGAATGATTGTCAGGAAGATGTGGTCATGCAGTAAGAAGGTTGGAATTTTTAGTTGGAATAATCTGAGGTGATTAAAAGATCCAATATGTGAACAATTGAAATGTGGGATGGGTAAAGATCTAGGAATTAAGATGCTATATGTGTTGAGGCTATGCTCTTAATTTAGTATGTATTTTGTGTTTCCCAGGAAGTTGGTGGAAATTGGGATTGAAAGAAAGACTAAATCAGGTTCTCAAGTCTTCTTTGAGGGTTTTGTAGGTAGAAGTGAGAATTAAATACTCACTCATAAGCAGCCTGAGCTTTTTCTTGAGAGAGATTGGTGACAGTGAAAAACCTGAAAAGGTCAATCTCCTCTGCCTGCTCAGGGTGGCAGGTGTCACTGTCAGAGAGGGTGATGGGGGATTGGGCATCTGTAGAGAAGTGCTTTTTAGTGTAGACTTAGAAATAACATGGCTTTTATGGGGGTGGGGGGTAGGAAACCCGTTAGAATTGAAGCTGCAGGTTCCAGAAGATGAATGGGATTTGAAGAGATGTCACAGAGCACAAATTTTATTTCTTCATGTCACAACCAGAGCGTAGAGCAGTGAGAAGCATCCTCAGAAATGATGATCACAAATGTTTTAATATTGGCATGAATCATTGAGTGTTACTGACTCTGTCTCAGCATGATGAGGTAGGTTACAATAAGGCTTACAGAAAGACTGATGAAGGCTGGCTCAGGGTAGCAGTTCTCAGGCTTCTCTTCAAAGGTGGTGGCTCAGGGAGCTGGAGAAGGTTACCGGGTGTGGTTCTGTATATGAGCTGTTACATTGTGCTCTGTGTAATAATAGAGTCCTTGGTAAAGTAGAAGAGAAAAGATCCTACAAGGGTACTGAGTGAAGAGTGCTTTTGCGCTAGAGCTCAGGCGTTTATTTTGTTTGTTTGTTTGGTGAGTATTTTGCAACAGGAGTCTCAGATATCTTGGATACTTCAATGAATTAGGCATACAACATCCATACGTTTGTGGAACTTACGAGGTACATCCCATTATGGTGGGGAAAGTCAGATAAATATTAAAAATACGCAAACATTGTGGTTATTAAAAAATACATGCTACCAAAATAAAAAGAATTAACCAGGCTAGAAAGGATTGGGGAAGGCTGCAATTGATGACAAAAGAGCAAAGGGTTTGAAGGGAGAGAGAGTTTGTTCATGTGAACATGTAGTGCGGCAGCGTTCTAGGGCCAAGCAGCATTAGTGCATGGACCCCCGGGTGGGAGTAAACCCAGAGAAGATAAACAGTAATGAATCCTGTGTGTCTGAAGTGGATCAGAAGAGAAATAAGGGATTAGGTGATGGTGTCGGAATGTGTTTAGCTGGAATTTTTTGTTTAATTTTATTTTATTGTCAGTAATATAAGGTTTATGAGGTGAGTTTGCGGTAAAAAAATATTACAGGCATTTAGCCTAATGATTAGAACACCAGTTAGCACAACCAAACTCATATTGGGTATCTGATTTCTGTTCCTGGCTCCAGTTGAATTCTCAGCTCCCCGTTTCAGCCTCCTGCTGTTCCAGCTCAGCAGAGTAAACCAGCAGAGAGAAGCTTGCTCTTCTCCATCTTCCTCCTTTTTTCCCTCTCTAATAAAAAATAGATAATGCTACTTTTCTTTGAACTTTTGAAACCCTCTTGTATATTATTAAATATATAGTTCTAATTATATAACAATTAAATATGCCATGTTACAATGTGACAGTATTAAATAAGACCAAGAATTGAGAGAAAAAAAAACCTTATTCTCAAGCATTTTTTTGAGTGACAACTTTGTAAATTCTCTGTCTTTAAAGTAGAAATTTTTAATTTTTTACAGAATGATTTGGAACAAGTACTGCGCCAAATTGGTGACAAAGATCAAAAGATTCAGAACCTTGAAGCCTTATTACAGAAGAGTAAAGAGAATGTTTCATTACTAGAAAAGGAAAGAGAAGATCTTTATGCAAAAATTCAGGCTGGTGAAGGAGAGACTGCTGTTCTTAATCAGTTACAAGAAAAAAACCATACATTACAGGAGCAAGTATGCTTTTAAAACATGTTTCTAAAATGTGCTTCTTACGTAATATGGCATCTAAATAATTATTTATGGTTCTTGTTTAGTACTTTAAAAAGTGTTGTTTATTTTTGACAGATGCATCTAATTTACCCTAGAAATGGGTCTCTATTGCAATTATGAACATAATTTCACAAAGGAAATCTCAGTGCATGTTCTAGAATGTAACTTATTGCCTACATGACAGTAGATAAGTCATATTGGCTCTTTGGAAAATTAGAAATGCTTTTAATTATGTATGTTTACTTCATGTAATTTTGTGATTTTTAAAAAATAGAATAAACAATATATTCATATACTCAAGGTATAGATAAGTATTAAATATATTGTGTATTGGTTAATGTGCAGAGTTATTACTCATATTTTGATAATGTATATATCTGGACAATTTATACCTAATAACTGATACGGTATGTTATTGTTCCAATGTTAATATATAGTTAATATTTAGCTGCTATTATTTAGTTGTTAATATTTAGCTGCTTATATTTTTAAGCAAAAAAAATTTTATAGTTGATTTTTTGAAGAATTGTTGAATAAAATAATTATTGTTACCTAAATGAGAACGTATTTAAAACAGTATTAAAGTCAGTAGATCATATCACTTTTCAAATTTAAGAATAAACATAGACTTCCCCCCCCTCAATAATTTCAAAGTTAGCTTGAATAATTGTTATGAGCATTTCTTATGAGGATTTCTTTAGGGTAGTTTTAATTCTGTACAACTTGACATTGCTTATTATGCCAATATAATTGGGAAAAATATGGATTTTGTATTGAGAGATAGAGATATGGAGAGCAAGAGACAGAATGCCTTCACCTGCTGATTCACACTCCATAGTGACCAGAGCTGGGCCAGGGCCTACAGGTGGGAACTGGAAACGCAAAGCAGCTACAGTTCAGGTCTTCCACTTGGTGGCAGGAACCCAGTAACTGAGTCACTCACTGCTGCCTCTCAGGCAGGAAGCTAGGAATCAGACCCAGACATAATCAAATCAAACATTCCCATGTGGCATCTAACATGGAAATCTGCCAGAGGAAACACCTGCACTCCATTGGTTACTCCAAACAGTAAATTTAAAATAATCTGCATACTTCTGCTTTTGGTTATCTTGGAATAACTGGTATCTATTTACCACTCTTACCATAAACAATAGAAAGTTGGTGAAAATGCCTAACACCATTGTCTTCAGACATTAGACGGTAGACAGTAGGCAGTAGTGGGTTGGAATACATGTGAAAAGAGAAATAAGTGAAATGTGCCTCTTAATTCCTCTAATTTGTGACCTGAAACATTTTCCAGACTGTGGTGTAGGTTTGGGGAATCCAAGGCACAGTGGTCTCTTTGAACTTGTGAGTGATTGATTGAGTTAAATAGACTGAAGTTCAAGGAGGTGAAGGTTACAGGGCAGCATACCAAGGAAGGACCAACAGGGAACAGAAGCTTCAGAAATTTTCCTTAGAATCCACTTGAATCTTTGTTTGAATGTTAGTAAGTTTTGTGTTAATAAGTCAGTGAACATTAATCAGTGAATTTCAGGTTGAAACATTACCAGAAACTCATGCACGGCTAGAAAAAAGCTATTTTAGTAGAGATAGAGGTGGAAACTATTAAAAGACCCAAACAGGGCTTCTAGAAAGAAACAAATAAATAAATACACACACACACACATATATGAAGTGATAATTCTTATCAACAAAGCAGACAATGAGACTGTTCAAAATGAAACAGAAAAAGAGTAGGGGAAAGAGAGAAGTGCTTTAGTGACCTGAGTGACAGGATCGGGTAGGCTAGTGTGCATATAATTATTGTCACAAATGGGTGAGGAGGAGGAAAATGTTTGTAGAAGTAATTGCTGAAATAGTTTAATTAAAAATACCAACTCAGATTCAGAAAGCTTAATGGACACACAGAATACATCAAAGAAGTATCCGTTCAATTGAGTTCCAACAAAATTTTAAAATTATGTTCTTTAAAAGATAATATTTTTTGACTATAAAGCCACAGCACAGGCTGCATTTATGATACATGTAGGTGACAGGTCAGAAATGCCTATAATATAGAAAGAATTTATGTTCTTCAGTCAGATTGTGATTGTCTAGGGCTCGACGCTGGGAGGCTGTAAATATCTGCAGAGCAGCGTGGGGATGTGCTAGACAATGCGAACGTGCTGTACCTCGACCGTGGTGAGGCTTAGCTGAACACCGCAAAATGCGCACTTAAATTGGGAAAGTTTTGTTTCACAGAAATTATAGGTCAGTGGAGATAATTTTAAAATAATATACCTTGGATTTGAGTTTTTTATGATTAGGAATTTTTCACTTATTTTTGAAGGCTGTAAATACAGTCATGAATCACTTAACAATGGGGATGCATTCTGAGAAAAATGTAATTAAGTGATGTCATTGTTATGCAAATTTCCTAGCATATATTTACACGAGCTAGACCATGTGAACTTGTAGAACCACTGTGTGTGTGCTTATGTGTATATATTTAGTTATATGTACATATACATATATGTGTATGTATATATATGAATATATAGTTATTCATTAATCACAACACTGGTACACAGAGCTTGGCTGTAATATTTCTTCAAAACATTGAAGTAACCTATTAAAGAGCAGTGTAAGAGTTTTATGGCACTTAAATTTGGGTTTCTTAATTTTGATTTCATTTGCGAACTTCATAATTGAAGTGTTGCTTTTATAACAGGTTACTCAGTTAACAGAGAAGCTGAAGAATCAGTCAGAAAGTCACAGACAAGCCCAGGAGGATTTGCATGACCAGGTACAAGAGCAAAAGGCACATCTTCGAGCTGCCCAAGACCGTGTCCTCTCCTTGGAAACAAGTGTCAACGAATTAAATAGTCAATTAAATGAAAGCAAAGAGAAGGTCTCTCAGCTTGACATACAGGTAATGTTGAGCCACGCTGCTTAATAAGTTTGTATACATAAACCATGGATCTTAGGATGTCAAATATTTTAAATTACATTTTTTCTATATTTTGCCATATGGAAAAAATAGGAAAAGAAATTAGATAATGATTGTGTCTAAGTTGCTGAATTTACTTGCTTATTCTCATTTCCCCTGCTGCCTCAGCAAATTATACATCCTAAAATCGCTGAATTGTTTAGATTTTCTTTGTTTTGATTAAGTTCTTATTATTGTTTTGATATTATAGCATAAAATTTATATATTAAAATATATTTATCTATGTATTACTGTGCCACTTTATCCATAGGAGTTTGAGGATCTAAATCTACTCTTAAAATTATTTTAAACCTTATTTTGGGGCCCGGCACCATGGTCTGGCAGCTAAGGTCATCATTTTGAACGTGCTGGGATCCCATATGGGTGCTCTTTCTAGTCCTGGAGGCCCCACTTCCCACCCAGCTCCCTGCTTGTGGCCTGGGAAAGCAGTCAGAGACAACCCAAAGCCTTGGGACTCTGCACCCGCGTGGGGGACCCGGAAGAGGTTCTGGACTCCTGGCTTCGGATCGGCTCATCTCTGGCCATTGCAGTCACTTGGGGAGTGAAACATCGGATGGAAGATCTTCTTCTCTGTCTCTCCTCCTCTCTGTATGTCTGACTTTGCGATAAAAATAAATAAATCTTTTAAAAATTTATTTTTACTTTATATATGGCATTTTTATGGAGTATAGTACTATATTTCAACACATAAACAGTAAAAAAAATGAAACAAAAATCAAAAAACAAAACAAAACTGGAACCAGGGAGTTAGCCTTACCATTTTCTTGTTTTTGTGTTTGGAACAATATCAGGTGCTGGTTTTTAGTTCCTCTGCAGAATATAAAGGGTTTTTATGAACTGTAGTCATCCACTATGTTACAAACACTAGAATGTGTTACCTCTGTCAGATTACCTCACTGCTCACCCTCACATGAGACCTTCCCAGCTTTTAATAACTAATCTAAGTCCAGACTGACTTTTTTTTTTCTTTTTTTGACTTTCACATATGAGAATATCTGCTATTTGTCTTTCTGTGTCTGGCTTATCTCACTTAACATAATGATCTCCAGTTCCATCACCATAATACAGATCTGAAGATTTTGTTCTTTTCGCAGATGGATAATATTTCTCTTAACACACATCGCACTCACTCAGTGATAGAATCTTGGTTGATTCTGTTCTTGTCTATTATGAATAGCTCTGCCATGAATATGTGCAGAGCTATTTATATCTATTTATATCTCTTTCAGTTGCTCGTTTACTTCACTTCTCTGTCTGTGCTCAGAAATAGAATAGCTAAGTTATATGGCAGTTCTGTTTTCATTTTTCTCAGGAATTTCTGTACTATTCTCCATAAAGTGTGTCCAGTAGTTTCCATTCTCACTGACAGAGTATGCACATTCTCTTTGTTTCCACATTCTAGCCAGCCTTTGCTGTGTTTTCTCCTGTCAGATATAGTCCTTCTAATTAATGAGATGACACATTTGTGGATTTGACTTGCACTTACCCAATGGCTAGAGATTGAGCGGGTTTTTTTTTTCATACATTTGTTACCCATTGCATTTCTTATTCAGCTGTGTCTATTTAAATCCTTATCCATTGCTTACCTAGATTATTTGCTTTTGTTTTATTGAGCCTTAACAGTTACCTATATATTCTGTTGTATTAACCCTTTGTCAGGTGAATGGACTACTGGTATTTTCTCCTAGTCTCTTAGCTGGTGTTATTCTGTTCATTCTTTTTGTGCTCTATAGAACCTTAGCTTGATATAATCCCATTTGTCTGTTTTGTTTGTGTTGCCGGTGCTTTTGGAGTCTTCCGTAAAAAAAATGATTGTGTCTGCAAATGTCTCGAAGTTATTTCCCTAGATAATTTTCTATTAGTTCTATAGTTTCAGGTCTTAGTGATTCATTTTGAGAGAAATAGATGACATCTTTGTAGGAGGAAAGGTTGGCAGGGGTGGGAGGCAGATTGGGGTGTGTATGTCATGATTCAGTCTTATGTAAATATATATCTGTATCTATCTATCTATCTATATATGGGACCATTTATTCAGGTGACTGTCCTTTCTTAGACCATATTTTTGGTCCTTTGTCAGTAGAAGTTGCCTATAGAGGCATGAGGTTTTTTTTTTTTTTTAAACCTTTCTTTAAAGATTTGATTTTTTTTTCCGTTATATATTTCAATGTAAATACTTTCAGAAGTCTATGTAAGTAGTCTTCCTCAGCATGTCAGTCATGGGATGAGGGGTGTTTTTTTGCTGGTAATCAGTTTTTTCTGTACTGAGAAAGGGAAATTTGTAGAAACATTTCTAAGCCTTGATCTTATGTTAGGACAAATAATCTAGTAGAAATTCAATATAGTAAAATAATATAATTGATATACTTATTAGAGCTATGAGTATATATTCTCTGATTTTAATTGCTTGATGAGTTATAGGATTGTCTGATATGTAATGGTACAGTTTAGCAGAGGAAAAGGAAAGCTATGAGAGTGGAAGTCTTTGATTCTGACTTTTTTTGAATTGCAGAATGCTTCCTTTTACAAAAGAGTTCAACTTTTATTAATTTCAGAACTAATTTTTATAATGATCAATTTTTCATATTATCATTGTTGTCCTCTTCACCTTTAAAATAACTTCATCCTTGCCATTGTTCTTTGAATAGTGTCACCTCTTCGTATTTTCTAGTTTCTGAAGTTTTTGTTGAATCACTTTAAGTTTCTCCGAAGTAGAGTATGGCGGCATGGTTTTACTAGATTTAGGATTCTGTTACAAAAACCAATGCTGGGCCTCGCACAGTAGCCTGGCAGCTAAAGTCCTTATCTTACACTCACTGAGATCCCATATGGGCATCGATTCTAATCCCGGTAGCCCTCATTCCCATCCGACTACCTGCTTGTGGCCTGGGGAAACAGTCTAGGATGGCCCAATAGCTTGGGACCCTGCACCCACGTGGGAGACTGGAAAAGGTTACAGGTTCCTAGCTTCAGATTGGCATAGCTCCGGCCATTGCAGCCGCTTGGGGAGAGAATCAATGGATGAAAAATCTTCTTCCTCTCTTTATATCTTACTTTCCAATGAAAATAAAATAAATCCTGGGCCCGGCGCGGTGGCGCAAGTGGTTAAAGGTCCTCACCTTGCACACCCGGGATCCCATATGGGCGCCGGTTCTAATCCCGGCAGCCCCGCTTCCCTTCCAGCTCCCTGCCTGTGGCCTGGGAAAGCAGCAGAGGACGGCCCAAAGCTTTGGGAACCTGCACCCACGTGGGAGACCCGGAAGAGGCTCCTGGCTTCGGATCGGTGTAGTATCGACCCGTTGCGCTCACTTGGGGAGTGAATCATCGGATGGAAGATCTTCCTCTCTGTCTCTCCTCTCTGTATATCCGCCTTTCCAATGAAAAAATAATAAAAATAAATCTTTAAAAAAAAAAAAAAAAAAAGAAAAGAAAAGAAAATAAATCCTAAAAAAAAAAAACCCCAATACTTTAAGCAATGTTGTTAGCATAAGAATAGTAACCTGAAATGCTTAACCAGAGGGTAGTTTACTTTGACTTTCTTTACATATAGCAAGCAAAGAGAGTTAAGGTAAGGTTTTTGCTGGAGTGTTCCTTTAACTGATTACATACTTTTCAGTCTGTGCTTCCTCTAGTGTACATGGTCAAGCTGGGTTATTAAGTGCAAGTGTGGTAGCACATCATGAAAAGCATCTTCATTGCCTTCACAATTGCTTTCATGTAGAAGGTTCAATAATTGTTGCATCATAGTGCTTGGTGCATGCATAGAAAAGACCTGCAGAAGAGTCAGCCATTTAAAAAAAATTGTATGTTTTTATCAGAAAGGCAGATATACAGAGAGAAGGAGAGACCGAGAGAAAGATCTTCCAACTGTTGGTTCACTCTTCAAGTGAAGCTGAGCCAACCAGGTGGAGCCTGGAGCTTCCTCAGGGTCTCGCATGTGAATGCAGGGTCCCAAGGCTTTGGGCCATTCTCCACTGCTTTCCCAGGCCACAAGCAGGGAACTGGATGGGAAGTGGAGCTGCCAAGATACAAACTGGTGCCCACAAGGGATCCCAGCACTTGCAAATAAAGGACATTATCTACTAGGCAACCATGCAAGGCCCGGGTCAGCCATTTGAAGGGCCACATTTTTCTCACATCAACTTTTTCTGAAATAGCATGAAGTAGTCGAACTGTTTATTACCTAATCTTCTCAACCTCCAACTTTATGTGTTATGTGACTTTGGAAAAAAAAATCACATTAGTTAAATCATGAGCAGTTAGGATCTATTGAAATATTTCATGAGTTTTTATCTCCATAGCTAAATGAAATGCTATATGTGTATGAATCTGACTTCTGCAAAATAATGTGTTCTTCATAGCCTGTGTAATATTTTCATCAGTTAGTGAAAATTTACTCTGAGTTGCTTGAAGTATAGATTTTTTGTTGTTGTTGTTTTTCATTTTGAAGTGTGTATATACCCAGATGTAACCTCTTATGAAAATTTAAGTATTTAGTTATTGAGAAAGAATTACTGCTATTTTTCCCTTCTGTTTAAAATTACATTTATGATACAAGTCTTACATTTCTGAAGTTTATTGATCATTCCTTCAACCAGTTAAAAAGTATATTCCTAATTATTTTTAACCTTTTCTCATAGTATTTTAAGTTCAAATATGAGTTTACAGTTTTCCTACTTTTGACTTTCCTGTTAGAGATAATTGCAATGAAGTTATTCAGACAATGAACTGAGTTGCTTTTAATAATAAGACATTTTAGTTTGATTTTGTCTAAAGCCTGCTGTAGAAATCCAAATTTTTATTAATGTGAAATTTCTGACTTTTTATATGTATTGAAAGGGAAACCCTTTACATGAGAAAATATCAGAGAATGTTGAATTTCACAGAATAGTACTAGTTTTTCTTACTGTTTTGAGTTTTTGATTCTGGAATTATTGAATTTCCTTGGAGTCATCATTTTTGTTGACAGTCATTTAGAGTGACATTGGTGAACTTGACTTCTGAAAATATAGTCATGCTTCTCAGTTTAAGAAGTATTTCCTTTTCTTTGTGGAAGTGGGGTACAATTATGTGTTGATGTCACATAGAGATAGCTTCTCTTTGTTATTCAATATTATTAGAAATCATCTTCTCTACCTCCCATTATTATTTTTTGGATTTTGATATTATTTCTCTAGTTCTAAATCCTTAAGTTTTTTGTGAAATATTTTTATGTTTTAGTCTAATGACAAAGTCAGTGTGCATTCAAATAAGGAGAAATTAGGATCTACATGTGAATTAAATAACATCTAAATTTTTTTTTTTTTTGCAGATTAAGGCCAAAACTGAATTATTGCTGTCAGCAGAAGCAGCAAAAACTGCACAAAGAGCCGACCTTCAGAATCATTTGGATACAGCTCAGAATGCTTTACAAGACAAACAGCAGGTAGGTCAACAGCATGGTGCAGTTTCCCACCACAACCTGGGGCTTCACATTTAAACTGTAATCCAGTTATACATAATCTTGTAATAGACTTGTTTATTCTGCTTATTTCCTCGCTTAGAAGACTTGAATAAGAGCAAGTCAGACAGATGGAGATAAAAATATCTTGATTTGTTTTCGATAAAGCTCAATTGGTATGCAACTGTGGTTGGGCTTTCTAATGTTGTATTTCTCCCTTGAATAGCCCTTGGTGTGAAGTTGAAAACATTTCACTGCTAACAGATGAATTGTTACCTTATGCCATGATGTTTAACATTGACAGGGAGACAAACCTCTTTACTTGTGTTTTGTAGGTAGACTGAACTGTGCCAAGGATGTACTTACTACTTGGAAGAAGGGAAAGAACATTATTATGTATTTCATGTCAATTGTGAAGGTTATTCCTCTTGTTGGAGATGGAAGGAATAGAGGGAATAAAAAAGACAGTTTTCCAAATACTTCTATAGGAGTTTCCAGTTTTAGGGCCAAGGTCCAAGGGTTGGTACATTTCCATTACTTTTTACGTTGGAGCTTTTAAATTTTTTCATATTATTCGAGGAGAAATACTGATAATTGGCCCATTTAAAATACAGAAGAATATCAAGCTGAAGACAAAACAAAACAAAGCAAAGCAGGTTTATATATTCATTAGCTATTTTCCTCTTTAGATGAAATGTGTGTGATTGAATTTGGTGTATGTCTTTGAGACCTCTATAAAGGTTGAACAAATATGTGTCCCTTGACACTCAAGGAGTTCATTCCAGAAAGCCTTTCAGATACCAAAATTTGGGGCCCGGCGCCATGGCCTAGAGGCTAAAGTCCTTGCCTTGAACGCCCCAGGATCCCATATGGGAGCTGGTTCTAATCCTGGCAGCTCCACTTCCCATCCAGCTCCCTGCTTGTGGCCAGGGAAAGCAGTTGAGGATGGCCCAAAGCTTTGGGACCCTTCACCCGTGTGGGATACCCGGAAGAAGTTCCTGGATCTTGGCTTCGGTTCGGCATAGCATCTGCTGTTGCAGTCACTTGGGGAGTGAAACATCGGATGGAAGATCTTCCTCTCTCTCTCTCCTCCTCTCTGTATATCTGACTTTCCAATAAATAAATAAATCTTTAAAAAAAAAAAAAAAGATACCAAAATCTGAAGACACTCAGATCACTTATGTAAAATGTCATGCTGTTTGCTTGTAGTTTGTATAAATTTTTCCCTTTATAATGTGAACCATATTTAAATGGTTGTTTCTAGTATGTGATTATTAACATTTTTCATATGTGATTGGTCCAGTCAGTGTGTTTGGATTCTACATAGAACCAACTATATATTTATGTCTTTGTACACACATATAAGCATGCACACACACATTTTTAACAAAGGTTTATTTTTACTTGAAATGCAGATTTATGGAGAGAAGGAGAGACAGATATCCTCTGGTTTACTTCCCAAATGCTGCAGTGGTCAGAGCTGAGCCAGTCTGAAACCAGGAGCCAGGAACTTCTTCCAAGTCTCCCATGCAGATACAGGGTCCCAAGGCTTTGGGCCGTCCTGAACTGCTTTCCCAGGCCACAGGCAGGGAGCTGGATGGGAAGTAGAACATCTGGGACATGAACCAGTGCCCATATGGGATGCTGGCCCTTGAAGATGTTGAGCTATGGTGCCAGTCCCAACTGACATTTTTATACTTGTGGACTTTATACATGTAACTCTGCAACTTGTTTTTTGCTCATAGTATAGTTGAACACATCTGGAAACTGTTTTATTTATTTTCATATTGTTTGAAAGACAAAGAAGCAGAGTCCGTCCGTCTACTAACCAGATGTGCACAGGAGCTGAGACTGGGCCAGAGCAGAGTTAGAGACTTCATCTGGGTCTCCCATGTAGGAAGCAGGGATTCAAGTACTGGAGCTTTCGTTGTTACTTCAAAGAATGTGCATTAGCAGCAAGCTCGGTCAAAAGTAGAATAGTGGCACTCCGATGTAGAATGTGGGTTTCCCACGTGGCAATTTAACTGCTGCCGTATGCCTTTCACACTGGGACGTGTTTTCTAAATACAATATCAGTCATTAACTATAATGGAGATATACTTATAAAATGCATTACATTTTCAAATTTACATGTCAAAACTACTAGCAAATTTATAAAACTAAAGGCAAAAGGACAAGGCATCTTCTGGAATGTATCTTGATGAAGTTAATATTCTTGATGTTCACAGCTTTTATACAAGAAGAAGTGAACCTAAAAAAAGTGAATAAGACTGCATTAGGAGTTTCTAAGCTCATTAGAACTATGTTTCAAATAAGACAGAAATCGGATACATTTGCCATGGTGGAGGAAAAAGTGTGTGTGGGGGGGGGGAGGAAGCAGAAATTACTAATGGAGAGATTGGGAGAGGGTGAGGAAGAAAACAATCGCTGATGCATTGCTGGTGATAGGATATGTCAGGTCACTATTTGGGCTGCAGGGCGGCACTGTTTGGCAATACTTTTCAGGAACGTTAGAATCTTTTGTATGTTTTTAGCTTATTTGTGTATATTATCCTAAGAAAGTTATTGTAGCTTTAAATGTTCTATGTATATCTTCATTTATAAATGCACAGAAGTTAGCAGCGATGTAAGAATGTAAAACAGGACACCTGGGTAAGGAGCGGATTATATCACAATGAAACTTTATGTAATTCAATATAATATTTTAGAAAATAATAGTAGAAAGTTAAATGATGCATTATGTTAAAAAGGCATTGCAATAAGATAGCATGTAAAGCATACTATTGTTTATATTTTAAATGTACAAAAATAATGTACAGAAAAGACTGGAAGAAATTAAGAAAACATTGATAGTGATTTTGTTGTTGGTAGCTTTATTAGTATTTAAATTTTTTTCTGTGCAACTGGTATTCCAAACAAATGAATAAGTGTCACAGATACAATCTCCATATTATTTCAAAGTATTTTAAAAATGGTGTTTTGAACATTGAGATATTAATTATAGCATTCGTATATTGTATGATCTGCCTAATTAGTATTCTTTTGTGTTCTTGGCTCCTAAATTCAAAACTCTCCCTATAAAAATCTTGAAAAAATTATTTGATTTTTAAGCATGTACTGTTAAACCTCGTGTCTCAGTCCGTGCAAACTTTGGGCTATATTGGTGAGTGAATATGGCATCTGATCCATCATTAGATTTGTCTGAAGCCTTGCTCCAAATCATTTCTTAAGTAGAACTGATGGTTTAAATTTTACCTTGACTAAATTTTGGGGAAAAATATATAGTAAACTTTACCAAAGTTGTCTTCAATTGCACTTTTGTACAGGAGTTAAATAAGATCACTGCCCAATTGGATCTGGTTACTACAAAGTTACAAGACAAACAAGAATATTGCAGTCAGCTGGAAAGTCATCTGAAGGAATATAAAGAGAAACACCTCTCTTTAGAGCAGAAAACTGAAGAACTAGAAGATCAGATTAAGGTTTGTGCGGAACACATTGAATGTACTCCATTGTTTATTAGAGAAGCAATAGAATTTGATGATCTACATAGAAGCAAAGAATCAAGTAATGAAAGAATGGGTAGCTGTGATATGCAATTTTGAAAAAATAAGTTTTCCTAAGTTTTAATTTCATGTTTATTTTTATTTCCTAATTAATGGATGGATTTTATAAATGACATTATAGTTATTGATTGCATTTTCTAAAGTATAACCAATCGGTAATCTAATTACAAAGAATTTATTATTTTTTTGATTGTGAAGAATATAGTTACTTTATTCCTCTCTTTACTTCTTTATTTCAGTATAGTATTTCTTCAAAATTTTACTTTTCTATGCTTTATGAATTTTGCTTCTAATTAATGATATGTTTGTCCACAGCAAGTGGTCTATCTTACTTTAACAGTTCCAAGTGAAAATGTTGATACATTAAAGGCAATAAATTATTAATCATCAGGGGAACATTTGACATGCATCTTTGTCTTATAAATCAGGCTTTTAGTTAAAAACATTGAAGTTACCATATACACAGTGTATCAACAGAATCAAAAGATGTGTGCCTCTATATAGGCAGTCCCCAATATGTAATAAATAAACAGAATGATGATATGTATGCTGTATGAATTCAGTTGAAATCATAGTTGGAATTTTTTATCTTCTCCTGGGCCAGTAATGTGATACTCTTGTGATGATGAGCCAGGGCTGTGAGCCACAACCCTCAACCACATACACATTCATGCAATAAAGCAACCTAACCTCTAAAATCTGTGGTGTTGCAAGGCTGTGAGGTTGGCTAGGTTGGGCGCATTAAATGCATTTTTCCTTAGAATATTTTTAAACTTCAATGCATTTATTGGGATGAAACTCCATTGTAAGTCAAGGAGCATTTGATGTACATCTGGACCAGTACACTACAGAAGAATTTCATTTACAGATTTGTTTATGGTACCCTTTTTTTCTTAATGGCAATGATAAATTACAAGTTACTTTATGTGTGTTTGAAAAGAAGACAAGTGTTTAAGTGAGAATTCTATTTGAGTGCTTTTTCAAAATAATTGTACTTTATTATTGAGAGACTGATTATCCAGCTGGAATGGGGGGGGGGTGGGCTGGGCTTGACCATGCGACACTTGGCCATAGTAGCTTCCAGCATACATGAGATCCCGGAGGACGAGTGAGAGCCTGGTAGGGTGGCTGCAGGGGGTTCTCCTGTTCCCCACTGCAGGGGGCTGCTGTTTCCACTGTTCAGCGTGAGTACTGGAACTGGGTGCAGATCACACCTGGTAGCGCTACAACACATGTTGGCCTGCATTTGAGCTGGTTAGAGGGAGAGCCAGAGTTGGCAAACCAACTGCATCCACTGGTGCGTGCATGAGCCAGAGTAGGTTCAGGCTGTTGGAATTGCTGCAGCATCAGCTGGCAAATACTGGGACAGAGGGGCAAGTCCTATCAGGCAAGACTGCAGAACCACCTGATGTGTGCAAGATCTGGGAGTGGGCCCAGTATGGAAATGGTGGGCACGTCTCTGATGGGCTGCAACTTCCACTGGTGAACATGAGAATCTGTGCTAGTGGCAGGCCTGGCTAGATAGGCTGTGGCTTTGTGGCATCCTCTGGAATCGGTGTGGGCCAGTTGGGTTGAGTTAAGTTTCAATGCCCATTGATATAAATATGTGGGACGTGGATGGGATGTAGGACAGATTGGACCAGTCTACTGCATGTACTGGTAAACACAGGAACCAGGGCTAGGACCAGGCCTGGAGAGTGTTACTGGGGGTTATTCCAACTAAGCCACAGGTCCCACTGGTAAGCATGAGGGCCTGGCATTCACATGCAAGTGTCAGGTCAATGATCACCTCAGGAGAGGTTTCTGTGGTGATCCTCCCAACTGAACTGCTGGACTCAGAACTCCAACTGTGGGGAGAATCTCAGGATCTGTGTCTGACTGTGGAGTGCATGTGTCAGAACTGGACCTCCTAAGTGGCTTAGATGGAGCAGTAAACAGCATTCCCAGATGCACATGGAGGATATGGTAATCCATTGGGGCCTGCGGAGGACATCTCGCATCATAGCAGAAGCAGGAGAGCAGAACACGTTGTTCAACTTCCCCTGCCTAGTGTTGACAGCAAATATCTGGACAAATAGAGACTCTGGGGTGGACTATGTCAACAGATGTACCTTGGAAGGATTTCCTCATCCTTGGATTGGTGAAATTAACAGCATTTAGAACTATCGAAACTACTCAGGCAGAACCCTCAGAGCAGGCTCCACACAGGAGACCCTGGGATGACATTGGGTGGCCATTCCCCATCCTTGAGAAATGGGGATATGAAGGCTGAATGTGGCTTCTCCCCTAATTTTCCTCATTCTAACAGGAGAAAGGGGTTGAAGATTTGGAAAAATTAATCTCACCCTGGTCAACTATGTAAACATCAAGAAAAATAAAATTTAAAAAGAGAGAAGAAAAAAGAATACTATATTTTTGGGAGTACATGAGTGAATCTTTTTTTTTTTTTTGCTGATGAGCTACTAACTTTTGTTTTAGTAATATTTTTCTTTAAGTTAATTCTTCTATCCAAAATAATTTAAAAATTAAAGAATTCATTAATTATAATGTATAAAGTCTGTTGGATCCTCTAAAAGATTTCAAAATAAGTAACGCAGTAATGATTTCAGAGTGTGTTTGTTACTATGTTACTCTAGTTATTTCTGTGTATATCAACACCAATTTGAATATAAATAGAATGTTTTATTTAATAATCCATTGGTTGTTATGTAAAATGCTTCCCATACTATTTTTTTTTTGTAGAAACTGGAGGCTGATGCTCTTGAAGTTAAAACAAGCAAGGAGCAAACTTTTCAGACTCTGCAGCAACAGAGGCAGCTGAGTACAGAGTTAGAGCTGAGAGTAACAGAGCTAGGTAAACAGCTTGAAATGGAGAAAGAAAGGTAAGCTAAACTACTTCACTTATACATTAAGGGAGAAGAGTATAAACTAGCACTAAAATATCAGATTTGCTGTCACAGTGCTTAAACAATTGTTAATCATTTCTGTTGATTTTATAAAGTATTGTTAAGTTAAATGAAAACTAATTCTGTCATGAAATGGTTAAAGGTAATTTCATCGTAGAAATCTTATTTTCCTCTAATCTCTTTCAACAAAAATATGATACCAATGTAAAATTTAAAAATAGTGAGGGTGTATGTTATCCAGGAGCAATCAGATTTCTGCTTCGAGTGTAGTACCTAGTGAGGAATGCATATTTCCAGGACTAAAAGTTGGAGAATCTCAAAGCATAAAAATAGTTCTGATATCTTACTGATATCCAAGTTCATGTGATTGTCACCGCTTTTAGTAGCTTTCCTTTAACACATTATTGAATTTATATTTGTTGTAAATTTCTACTAATTACATTGGAAAGTAGTATGCATTCTAGAAGTATTAATGTTTCATATTTGTTGTTTTGACTTTGAAAAATGGTCAATTTTAAGGGATATATGGTCTTTTTCCTGCTACGCCTTATGCATAAATATTTCTTTTTAGAAAAAAGTATATAGTTTAACTTTCTAAAGCTGTGTCTTCATTATCCCATTCTGTTATTTTATTCATTAAGGTGTAAAAATCCTGTGTAAGGAACAAATAACAGACACCTTGTATAATCTGCTAAAATTGAGGATTAAAATATGTCATTTGTTTTCATTTTTAAAATGAGAATTAAATTTTTTGATGTATTTATTTATTTGAAAAAAGGAGGGGAAGAAAGAATGAGAAAAATTGAGAGAGAGAGAGAGAGAGAGAGAGAGAGAGAGAGAGAGAGGAATTCCATTCTTTGGTTTGCTTTCCGAGTGCTGTAACAGCCAGGAGTAAGCCAGGCCAGAGCCAGGAGCCAGGAATTCCCACTGTCTCTCACTTGTGCAGCAGAGGCTCAACACGCGGGCCATCTTCTGCTTATTTTCCTAGGCCAATATCAGGGAGCTGACTCAGAAAATGGAACAACTGGGACACGAACCAATACCCATTTGGAATGCTGATGTTACAGGTAGCAGCTTTAGCCACTGCACCATAACACTGGCCTCTGTATTTTTACCTTATTTAGTTTTTTTAAGGAAACCTTAAGTGTTAGTGTAAGTACGTTCAAATTCATAATGTGTTTCACTTTTCAAGATAAGCAGCTAGATTCTCTAGGTACTTGGAACTAACAATGAATAGCTTCATGAGGGTACATGGAAAAGCTTTTCTGGCAGTTCCATGACATGCAGTTTTCTTTTAGAATTGTTGTGATAGACAAGACTGGATTATGTTAAAAGATGCAGGATTAACTTAAAGCACTGATTTATTCAACTTGCAAACATCTACATCTGTTAAGATCAGATGTTCTAGAGCATTTTTCAGTCATATGATTTTATGTAATTATTATTTTTACTTCTGAATCCTACTAAAACGTCTTAATGATTGTGCTTAAATTTGAATTATAAATTACAGAAAGTTGTGTGCTATTTTTGAAAATTGTTTCTAAAATATTTAGAACCTCCAGTACAAAATTGGATCTAGAGAAAAAATCCGAGGCCCTTGAAAATATGAAACAAAGGTTTACTAAGCAAGAGGAAGAAAAAATTTCTCTGAAACAAGAAATTGAAAATATAAATCAGGATGCAAAGATGCAACACCAAGAACTGAATAGCAGAATACACGCAGCAGAAGCAGAACTACAAGCAGCAAGCGCAGAGAAGGAAGCTCTGGTGACAGAGCTGTCTGCAACCAAGGAGAAATTATCAGAAGTCTCCAATGCTTTGAAAAACTGCAAAGATGAATTTGAAAAGGACAACCAGAAAGGAAAATCTACTATATTAGATTTGGTTAGTTGTTTACATTTGCTTTATTAAAAGTGATTCCTATATTTAAAATGTACTGATTTTTCTATTTAATCCTTTTTAGACTTTTTATCCTACTTTTAGATGACAAAGTGCATCTATAGTAGGTGAACAACATGAATTAGACTGAGAAAAAGGCCTAGATAATGGTGTGTGTGTGTAAGACGGGGGGGTGGGGAGGGAGGAAAGTATTATTTTCTAGAGGCTGAGAATGTTTCCACTGGAATATAACAATTTTTCCTTGCTGGGAAGTTGCTATATTTGGTAGAAGCTGCAGTATATATTCTGAGCCATTTCTACAGAGAAAGCAGCTACCAGCTGAAACATTAATCACTTGCATAAAAGGAACAAAAGAGAATGAAGTATATAAATGAGTATTTTAAATCTACTATCAAGTTCTTGATTTGTCATTATAAATTCTAGACTTCAGTTAATGTCATGTTTAGAGATACAATAAAACATTTAAATTTTTGAAAAATAGGGTTTTATGAAATGGTTAAAGAGGAATATTTTTACAAAAATATTTTATTCAGAAAAACAAAATAATAGCAAAAGTAAAACTCATGTTACCAACATGAAAGTCAGTGAAAATGTATAGTAGTATTAAAAATATACAACAATAGTATGTTTACCTTCCACCTATATTTGGAGAAAATATTTTTCTTTTTATGCCTTCCCTGTTGAGCTATAAGAGGACAGTTCAAATAGTTCTTGTTTTGACATGGAAATTTTGGAAATCCATAAATATTATAGATCTTCAAAAGTTCACAAAATGCATATTATTGAAAAGATTATACATTATGAGAGATTAATTGTAAGTGATTCTCTGGCATAAAAATGTAACTTTGTTAAATCTCTGAAATACCTTATTGTTGCTATTGGCTGGTGACAGAAACAGTTGAGGTTTGCTGCGCCTCCTCTTACATTGTAAAAGGGTCTGCCCCATCAGCGCTTGATTCTATAACATCTAGCTCACCAGTGGTTATGGTTTGCTTCTTTGTGTGTTTGCTTTCTTACTGATTTATATACCAGTCTTCAGTTAACTACAAATACTTTCTGTATGATATAATTTCCATTTTTTTTTTAGCAAAAAACTTGCAAAGAATTGAAGCATCAGCTTCAAATACAGACGGATAGCACACGTAAGGAACAGAATGAGCTGAAAAAGTCACTTGAAAAAGAGAAAGAGGTAAGATTTTCTTTTTTTTTTCTGTAGCATAAAATACGTAAAGGCCAATAAATCTTATATTCAGTGAAAATATTTTCACACTGATCCTTAGATCAAAGGAAGGGTTTTTTTTTTCTGGGAAATATGATGGTTTAAGATATAAGCTAAATTGTTGTAAAAGGCCAAAATAAAAGAATATAATAAAAAAGGGTTGAAAATTGAGTTAACTAATTGTAGAGTTATAAATACAATCTAGGTTAAAAAACATTATTTTGATTGAAAAAAATCATAATATGCTTTTTATAAAAATGGCCTTTAAGGACTATTTCATAGATCTACTAATAGTGTAATTGATAATATAATTGATTATAAAGTATCTAGATGACTTTTTTCTATAGAGTCTCTGTTTCTCTCTAGAAAAAAACAGTCATACAGGCATGAAACTTTCTAGAAAATCTGACTTGACAAAGCAACAAAACATAGTCTTTTTAAAAGATTTATTTATTTATTTATTTATTGGAAAGTCAGATATACAGAGAGGAGGAGAGACAGAGAGGGAGATCTTTCGTCCAATGATTCACTCCCCAAGTGACTGCAACGGCAGATGCTATGCCGTTCCAAAGCAAGGATCCAGGAAGTTCTTTCTGGGTATCCCACACGGGTGCAGGGTCCCAAGGCTTTGGGCCGTCCTCGACTGCTTTCCCAGGCCACGGGTAGGGAGCTGGATGGGAAGTGGAGCAGCCGGGATTAGAACCTGCGCCCATATGGGATCCTGGGGTGTTCAAGGGGAGGACTTTAACCGCTAGGCCACGCCACCGGGCCCAATAAAATATAGCCTTGACGAATGTTTGATTATAATCAAATTCTAGCTGTGATGGAAAGAAACCTGCATGCGGAAGATGTCAGCCATTGTAACTAGGCCAAGTGTAATGGCTAAGTGCCCACGTTATGAATCAAAGTTGGTCAAATTTATATTTCAGTGCTGTAATTTGTTAGCTATGTCATTTTGCCATGTTTTAAATAGGTTGTGTAATCCCTTGAGCTCCAGGGATAAAATTGGGCTAATAATATAATCTGGGTCATAGATTTAGGGTGAGAAATAATTGGGTTAATATATTTGAAGTATACAGAACAGTGAATTACAAGGTACTTGCTCATGTATTAGCTGATATTCTATCATTGGTTACTATAACATACTCATTAATATTGTTAGATTACCTAATTCCTCTTTTATATAAAAATATTTTACTGTGCATTGAAGATAAATTGAGGCATATATCTATAGTAATAGGACTTTTCTTCTTAATTCTTTTTATTATTGTCTGTGATATAGTTCCACAGATATAGGGATCCCTTCGTGTTTCTCCCTCTCTGTTTTTTTCTTTCACCATTTCCCCCAATATTATTACAGTAGTATAGTCCTCTAGCAGCGCTTGCAAGTTTACCATTCTGCTATTTAAGTGCATCACAGAACTGTAGGTATAGACAAAGATAGAAAACCTAGTATCAAGATATATTTATCATCAAGGTCTATTTAGCTATTTCTCTTGGAGCCATCCCTTTATTTGGGAGTAGAGATGCCTACTCTGACAATAGTTCACTTCCCAGTATGCTAATCTCCTATATGAAATTCATCTATGAGAATATATGTATATATTTGTTCACCTACTTATTTGTTCTATATTTTGTGTGAATGTTGCCTCATATCAGAGGGAACATATAATATATGTCCTTTTGTGATTGACTTATTTCACTGAGCATAAGGTAATTGGATATGGTTCAACACTGAAATGCAGCACTGGATTCTTAAAGAAATATGCATAGGACATGAAAGCGTGACTTTAGGTAGAGAGATGGGAGATTACTATTGCTTTTCACCTTGGCCAATGTGGCTTCTATGTGAAGTCTTATTTTGAACAGAAACATAAGCCAGTGAGGAATGAAAACGGTAGTAACTAAGTGTGGTAACTGCTGAGTATTATATCTAAGTGTGGTAACTGCTGAGTGTTATCGTCTAGTGTCCTCAGATACCAACCATGTTTTCTACAAATGAACTCATTGTGAATACAAGCATATAACTATTCTTTCTGATTAACAATGGTCAATAGGCCGTATTCTTGAAAGACAATAGGTACTGATGTTGTCATTCTTGCTTTCTGTAATAAAAGAGAATACTAACTTCATTTACTTGGTGTACTGACATATAAATTATATGATAAAAGCAGTTGGGAGTCAACAAATAATGAGGGTTAATCCAGCATATCATCTGCTACTGAGTGATGTCAGTCATGAAAATAACATGAGAAAAGGGACCAGCCAGTAGGCTTAATGGTTTCTGTATTTAGTGGTATCTGATGTGTGGTAGATAATCAATGAATAATGATTTGGGATGAATAAATGAATTCTAAACAGTTTATTTTCATTTGGACTTCTTTTCAGTTGAAACTAGAACTGACTTCAATGCAAGAACAAGTTTTACAGACCCAGAACACTTTAAAACAAAAAGAAAAAGAACAACAACAACTTCAAGGGACTATAAGTGAGCTGAAGCAATCAACTGAAAAAAGGAAAAAGAAAATTGAAGCACTCCAAGGAGAAGTTAAAATTGCTATTTCTCAGAAGGTATACATGTGATGTTTGTTTATTTTTAATGAGGAGAACAAAAAAATTGGCAATTAGAGTAAGAATATTAACAGAAGAGTTGCGACATAGGAAATGTTTTATGTGATCCATTTTTCTAAATTGGTTATCTATACATTTGAGGGAGTGGGCATGTATCCTGCTAGTTAGAACACCCACAATAAAAATTACTAATGGGATATGTTAAAATTCATTAGTGTCAGATTTCATAACTATTTGATAGTTTATTTATATCATAATGGTTCCCATTTCCAGTCCTTTTCTAATTTATTATTTAGTATCTATTTTCCATTCTATTGAGTAGATGTTTTTAAAAGTTCTTCAGGCCAAGAGTTGATACTGGAGTATTTTTGTTTTGCTTTGTTTTGATACTGGATTGTTTTTAAGACAGAACAACTTAAGCTTTTCTCCGTTGTTGGCATGTGTATGTTAATTGGTCAGTGAAGAAGAGAGAGATGGAATTTCTAGTATGAAAGATAAACTAGATATGTCGAACTAAGTATGTTAAGGGTTGATTGTCGTACTACTAGAGTAAAACAAATTTAAAAACTTGCAAATATACATTTTGTGCTGGCTAGTGTTTCTGTAATGATTATTAAACTACCTTACAAGAGTAGTTTTGTAATAAGCAAAGTAAGAGTAGACAGATTTTTTATGCTGTTTGTATTATGTATAATCAAAAGTCAGAATGTTATTATCACGGTACATATTTTGTTGTATTCTTTAATATTTTGAACTCGTTTTAAAAAATTTATGTAAGTCTCAGATTCAAGTATTTCTGAGATCTTCATTTTATATTTCCGTGACTTAATGAGTTGTAAAAAATCTTTCAAAATTAAATTATTAGCTACAATAATATTTATGTAAAATTTACAATTAATATATATTATCTATTCTTTTCACAGCTTTAATAGCCAATACCTGAGAATTTTGAGATTGAAAAAAATTGTTCTTGTTAGTTTTTCATTTTTATTTTAGCATGTAAATGCTAGAATAATGAGCATAACTTCTTAACAACAACAACAAAAAAATGCTTTATCGGGTGTGGCGTGATGGCTCAACAGCTAAATCCTCACCTTTCAAGCGCCAGGATCGCATATGGATGCCAACTCATATCCCGGCTGCTCCACTTCCCATTCTGCTCCCTTTTTTTGGCCTGGGAAGGTAGTGGAGGATGCTTGGGACCCTGCACCCCGATGGGAGACCCAAAAGAAACTCCTGGCTTCTGGCTCCTGGCTTTGGACCAGCTCAGCTCCAGCTCAACTCTGGCCATTTGGGGAGTCAACCAGCAGATGAAAATCTTTCTCACTGTCTCTTTTCTCCATAAATCTAATCTGTCTTTCCAATAAAGAGAAATATATCCTTTTGAAAAATGATTTATATATAATTATTATGTATTTATATATATTACATATATTTACATATTATATATTATTTTTATATTATTGTATATTATGTATATATTATTTGAAAGATGAGTAACAGGAAGAAGTCTTCCATCTGCTGGTCCACACCCCCTGATGGTCACAGTGGCCTGTGCTGGGCCCAGCTGAAACCAGGAGCCAAGAACTCCATCTCCTCTCTCCATCTGGAACTCCAATTTAATATACAGGCAGCTGTTTAATGTGCTGTGCCACAGTGCCAACTCCAGAAGCACTTAACCTTGCAGGAGGGTAGTACTCGGGAAGTGTTGAGTGCATGTTTGTTTACCTTTGTAACTTAGAGTTTACAGTAACAAAGTCATTGCAAGAATAGCTTGATTTTGTGGAGGAATAGGGTAACGTCATGGGAAGAAAACGCATTTTAAAGCCAGGGATATCTGAGTTTTAAGTTTGCAGGACATGCATTAGCTTCATGTCATAGGGAACCAATTTCTATTTCAGAGACCAGTAAAATGGGATTGTGGTATTTTAAAGATTCAGATAATGTAGTTAACATAATTAGTTCTGTGACCATTGCCTTATAATATTATATGAAAGTATGACAAACTACAATAAATACACACAGAATTATATTATTTGAGAACCATTGATTAAGCACATAGCAATTACACTGCAAATCAGTAGGCCCTGTACCAACTTTATTCAAAACCTAATGTACAACTTTGAATGAGTAGGCCATGGCTCTCTAGCATTTATAATTTAAAGAGGAAGCAAGTGTTGAAAAGAAAATTTTAATAAGTAGAAGTGAGTGAAAGCAGAACTTAAGTATAACTATAAAAAAATAATAAGTTACTGGAAATTTTGACTGGGCTTAGAAAAAAAGCTAGCGTTTAAACTGGCATTTCAAAATGATTATAATTTTAAAAGGTCAAAAAAAATAAAGATATTAGATATTTCTAGGACAGAAAACACTTGGTCAAATTTGTAAGTGTTGGAAAATATCATTCCAGAAATTAATTATTTATGTGTGTGATAGAGAGGTGAGAAGAGAAAGACAAATAACTTAATAAGGCTAAATCACAGTGAACATTTTATAATTCTTTGTATTTAAAATGTCAGGCATTAGAGCACCAAATTTTTTAAGTATAAAAATATAATCACACTATTCTGAAGCCAAAATTGCAGATGACCTGCCCTCGTAAATTCTTTGCAACTTGGGGTTTGCTTTTGTCAACACAGTTGTCAGACTGTTGCACTTACCTGGTTTTTTAATACTGACTTGATGTCCTGGAAGTCAGAGAACTTTTTCTTTTTAGCATATGAGCTCTCAATTTTTTAAGTGTGTGAATGTTTTTGGTGTCTGAAGGTAAAAATAATGAAAAACCAAACATTTGCTCACAGAAACTTTGTAGTCGTTACTAAGACTGAAGAAATCTTTGAAGAAGGTTTTGTTAGGAGTCATAGTATTAATTAAAGAGAAAGAAAACTAGATTTGTGGGTGGAAAAATTAATTTGAATTTCTTGTTATTTGTACTGTATCTCAGTAAAATGTTTTTTTAAAAAACAAAAAAACTGTAGAACAGGCTTGTTATTTTCTAAAAGTAGAAGGCCAGTGTTGGTTAAAGAAGTGAGAAATAAGAAGAGTAATAGGTTTTCAGAGAAGCAGATGGAAGGTAGGTCATTTTTAATGAAATTTTTGGATTATGTGATAACAGTGAATGCTATATTATATTCTAAGAACAATGAACATTTGCTAGAGAATTTTTTAAAGCAGGGGATGATGGAATTTAACTGCAGGAGAATAAAGAAGATAACAGGGAATTGAAAAAGTATTGGCAGTGATTCAGACCATGCATGTTGATGGCACAAACTAACGTTAGAAGTGAGTTACTTAGGAATATGTGTTGTTAAGTTGAGCATTAGAATTATTGTGAGAAGTAATAAAAGAGGCAACCCTCTAGATTTGAATTTTGCTCATGGTGGTTGGTAATGACATTGAAATGGCAGAAGTGCCCACGTTCTAATGCAGAGTTACTCTCAGGAGCCAAGAATTCTGCTTGAGCTAAGTGTGTGTTCTTATTCAAGGAGAGGTGTCAGGAAGGTATTGAATGGAAGCACCAGAATTCAAATATCTAGGTAGCCAATGTAAATAGAAGATATTCAAAACTATGGGTTTAGTTGAAATCTTCTAAGGAGAGGGTGCTATGGAATAAAGGAGGAACAATGACAGAATTTTGGGAGTCCTGTAACTTTGAGAGGTGTGGGAAAATAAAGAGAACTAGCAGAAGATTTTGTGAAGGAATGACCATTGAGATGGGAAGAAAACCTAAAACATGAACTTAGAAAGCAGAGTGAAGAATATGTTTTAGAAGGGAATATAATGAAATAGGTCAATCATTGCTGAGAGTCCGAGTAAGATGTAGTCAAAAATAATGGGTTTGAAGTGTGACCTCAACAATGGTTTTACCAGAGCAATGCATTTATTTTAAAAGCCAGTGCTTAGTTTTTATTCTGTGCATGTTATTTTAGTTATGGCATATCTATGCTTATTTTCTGGATATTCCTAAAGACCAAAAGCAAGTTTACAGGAGCTGGACCTTTGTGAGATCTTCTCTTTTCTGCTTTGATATTAATAAAGATACCCTGTAGAACTCTATTGCTGTTGGATTTCCAAGAGAGGAACTACATATATCAACAAAGTAGTGGCTTGTTAGTTTCTTTCATGTGCAAGTTTCCCTTAGTTCAACCTTAATTTATAGCGTCTTGAGATATCCAGCACTGCATCTTCCTTCAGAAGCAAACTATCATTCTGTCTCCTAGGACCTGGTTCTTGGTGATTCCCAGTGAAATCATGTTTTTCATAATGTAATTGCTTTTATAATGGTCTTTAAATTGGGACCAGTTGGATTTAGTAACTCTTTTACTTAGGTGTACAGTAGGTAAGTTACAGTTTGTCATAGTAGAATTTGAAGGCAAAAATACAGTTCATCTTGTTTTCAGAAATTTTCTTCGTTGTGTGGCTTTCATTATATTGATTTGGTGTGTATGTTATTTTATGTCACTATTGTGTGTTTCAGATGGAACTTGAGAATAAACTGCAGCAGCAGTCCGCAGAGGCAGCCCAGGAACTGGCAGCAGAGAGAGAAAAAATGTCACTGTTACAGAGCACCTATGAAAAAAGTCAGGAAAATCTGAAACAGCTTCAGTCTGATTTCTATGGAAAGGAGTCTGAACTTCTAGCCACAAGGCAAGACCTTAAGGTATGGTAAGCTGTTTGATATCATAAACACTGGGTAAATTGTTTATAGATGTTTGTTAAATGACTTATTTGAATTCAGATGGTAAAAAGAATGTTAATATTTATAGATTATTATGCTTTCTATTAAATTACTGCTGGCTTAACATAATTTTAAAAATCAAGTTTTGTAAAAATGTGGTATACATAAATGTGACATTGTAAATTGGCATCTGTATTAATAAAATTAATTTAGGTATATGTTAATTGCTACACTGCTAGTTTTTCTAAGGATTTGCTGTCTTTATGTGAAAATAGCTTCAAAGGTGGACTTCTGTTAGAAAACTCAAAGAGTTTTAAATTTAAATACAAACTAAAGTCAGGCATTGGGTGCAGCAGGCATTGGGTACAGTTTCTGCTTAGGGACCTCACATTCCGTTTTGGAGTGCTTAGTTCAGTTCCTGGCTACTTTTCCATATTGCCTTAATGTACATCCTGGGGGTTGGCAGATCTTGCCTCGGGTACCTCAGGCTATAACACATTTGTTGGAGTCCCAGGTGGAGCTCTAGGCTCCTAATGTCAATTTGATGCAATTCTGGCTATTGCAGGCATTTGGGGGATGAATGAGTAGATGGGATATCTTTCACCTTTCTGTCTCTCTCCCTCTATTTCAAATAGAAATGAAAGTAGGGGCAGGTGTTGTGGGATATTGGAGTTTGTTACCGCTTAGGGAACCAACAGCAGAGTAGGGTTTCAGTTCCTGGCTACTTAACATTTCTGATCCATCTTCCTGCTAATGTGCCTGGAAAGCAGTAGATGTGACTCAGTTACTTTATTCACTAGAAAGGAGACATGGCAGGATTTGGAGTGCGAGACAGTGGTAGCTTGTGTTCATAATAGCTGTTAAAACAAAGTAAATGAAAATGAACAATATTTAAGTGGTAAGTGGAAATGAAACTTTGTGATTTATGGCAAAAATCATCTTTCCATATTGGTTGTGTCATTTACCGAGATTAACCTAGTAACAGGCTTTTATCTCTGAAATCATTATTCTTTGATTAAGCCAAGAACAATTTTATATGTCCAAAATTATGTCAGTAAATAGCTTAATACGTGAAAGAATAATTCCACTGTAAATATGGGCAAAAAGAAAAGACAGAGTGAAGCTGCCACGGTTTGAAAGCTGTTGATGAGACCCTGGATAGAATCTTTACTTCAACACTTTCTTATGCAGATGAGGGCAGGCTCAGTGCTCTTAAGGAGAGTGTGAATCCAGTGCTATGCAGTGGCAGAGTCATGACTAGTTCCCTGTTTTCATTTAGAATTTTAAAACAAAATTGAATATTAATAAATTCTATCCTAACGCTTTTAAAATGAGAACCATCTGAGCTACAAAGAAAGTGGATTTTAAACTGCAGAAATTACTAGGGATACTCAAGCAATACTTTTGGTAAACCAGAATAATAGATGATTGTCAAGCATTGTTTTTCTTTCTTCACTAATGCAATAGAATCTTGTGTGTAGCAGAGGAGAGAGACTCAGGACCTTGTCACATGACACTTACCTAAGTCAAGGCTATCACCATAGTTGGACTGGCAAGAGCACACCATGGGCTAGCAAGAGACACCTGCACACCAAGAGACTGACAGCCTGACCTAATCTATGCCTTTAGCCCCATCTGCTGGAATATGTATGAAATACTCAAGTTTGTTGATTGGATATTTCAAATTGCTGCTATATGCTGGGTTTTTTGTTGTTGTTGCTCTGGAAAGGGAGAAGTGGAATTTAAGGTAAATTTTATACCCTGAGTGAAGTGAAAATTTTACATACCATGTGTTTCTTTTCAAAGGGACTGTGCCTCCAGAAGAAGTGATGACAAATTCTTAATAGATTTTGTGGAGGAAATCTTAGATTGTTTCCTGTTCCCTGTTATTTCTCAGCAAAAGTAGCGGAATGTTGGAAGGTTCCTACCATTCCCATTCTGTATCTACTTAAGCCTGATGGGTCAAAAATACTTACCCATTCTTCAATGTTGGCTTTTCAAAATATTTGGCCCTAACAACAGTCGGTGTCTACGAGCTGTGCTAACTGACAGCCGGTAGTTGTACCACACAAGTGGGAAGTCAAGGGTGTGGGGTGGTCTGCTCCAGATACAGCCCCAGAGGCTTGGCGGAATGTGCTCTTCCGGGGCCCTTGGCAGCTACCAACGACTGGTCCTGCATTAAAAAAGCAAGATAAGGGACGTCAGAGATCTGAAACTAAATAAGTGTATACAAACATTACCATTTAGCTGTGTCTTTTAAAGGTGTTTTCTCTCGTCTTATGTCTTGTCTCTAACCGTATGTATGGTTTCTGAGTGTATTTGATATGGTACCTACTTATTGACAGTGCTTCGTATCACCTAGCCAATGTTGAAGACATGATAAACAGTGAATCTTTTAAAATTATTTTGAGAACTATTAAAATTGTTTTTATAAATGTTTTATATTGTTTTTAATATATACATTGTTTTTTAAATGTTATAAACGCTATAAATGTTTTTTTCAAAAACACAAGAGTTGATATTCTAGAATTATTTGTGTTAAATTATCTTAATGAAGAGAGTGCCATGTCCCCTTTCACAGTATATTGGCTTCTACACCGCCTATATTAACTTTAGATTTCTGTTGCAATTTGTTAAAGGAAATGACATACTAATTTGAGGGAATTATTTTTTTAAGTCTGTAGAAGAGAAGCTTTCTCTAGCACAGGAGGACTTGATTTCAAACAGGAATCAAATTGGAAATCAAAATAAATTAATCCAAGAGCTAAAAGCTGCCAAGGCTACGTTGGAGCAGGATTCGGCAAAGAAGGAGCAGCAACTAAAGGAGCAGAGTAAAGCACTACAAGACATTCAAAAAGAAAAGGTATTTCAGGATTTTAACTTAAAGCTGCCTTCTGAGAACTCCTTTAGAAACCGTCCATGCCGACCTCTGATCCTCTTACTGTCATCACCTGTATTTTCAACAGTCTTTGTGGGAGATCTCTAGTTTCTGATAAAACAGATCATTAGAATTTTAGTATTAGCAAGTACTTCTTAATAGTCCTTTTATATTTCTACCCATTTTTCTTATAATTTTTCTTAGTTTTACAAATAAGTCTACTTTTCACACCATAGATTCTTGGTTGAGAACATTTATAATAGGCCTTCAGCTAGTTCTCATAGAGCATCTTATCCTCTAGATGGGCTATTTGGGCAGTGAAAAGTCCAAAAACAATTTTAACAACCACCTTCCTGTAAGGGTAAGAAAGGTGTATTTTATATGAATGATGCTGTTATAAAGTTGAAAACATTGGTAAATATGACCAGTGCAGTTTAAAAATTTCTTTAAGTCTGTGTGAAGAGAAATCTTTTAATGTTTGAAATAATATATCCTATGTGTAATAGGGTAATATTCTGAAGTGAATAATTACTGAACTTCTTAGTCTATTTTAAACTATCCAATCCATGGGCCCAATAAAATAAACTAACAGCTAAAGTCCTCGCCTTGCAAATGCTGGGATCCCATATGGGCACCAGTTCTAATCCTGATGGCCCCGCTTCTCATCCAGCTCCCTGTTAGTGGCCTGGGAAAGCAGTCAGAGACGGCCCAAAGCCTTGGGACCCTGCACTCAAATGGGAGACCTGAAAGAGACTGGGTTCCTGGCTTCAGGTTGGTTCAGCTTTGGCCGTTGCAGCTGCTTGAAACAGTGGACAGAATATCTTCCTCTCTGTCTCTCCTCCTCTCTGTATATTTGCCTTTCAAAAAAAAATTAAAAAAAAAAAACTGTGTGATTCATTAAATCTTAAAGAATGGGGGATATTTTTGGTGATTCAGGAGGGTGAGCCGGAATGAAGTTCGTAATTGATAACTCATGTTTATATATATATGTTTAGTGCTGGGGCTTTAGAGCAGTCAGATTTTATTTTAGTTTTAGTTAGCTCTACCTGTAATAAGATTACTTACTTATCTTAAATCTTTGTTTCTTTACTTATAAAATAAAAATTTTAAAACTCGACTGTTCATATTATAGAATGCTTTGTAAAAGATTTATTTGAAAGTGTAGTTACATAGACAAGAAGAGACTGAGATCTTTAATCTACTGGTTCACTCCCCAAATGGCCACAACTGCCAGGGCTGTGCCAGATGGAATCCAGGAGCCAGGAGCTTCTTCAGAGTCTCCCACATGGATGGGAGGAATCCGAGCACTTGGCCTGCCTTCCACAGCTTTTCCCAGGCCATTAGTAAGGAGCTGGATCAGCAGCGGAGCAGTGAGCCCTTATGGGATGCTGGCATCTCAGGCGGCTTTCCTTGCTGCCCCACAGCGCTGGCCCCACATCATAGAAGTTGAATGTAATAATATGTGATGCCTCTGGCAAGGTTACTTGCACAAAGATAGTGACAGAGCAAAGAAATTATGAGTAAAAGAATACCATTATTTTAGTTCAGGATAAATTTTATGGTGTTTTTACTCTGACAAACATTTTTCACTTCACAGGATTTTGTTATGACTGCTAATCCTCATAGTGACATTGTTCCTGCCCTATGTATACACTAATGAGACAGGCAGAGGATACAAAACTTGCCGAAATTCACTTAAGCGGAAAGGATCATAAATATAATGCTTTTTATTACACTACCTTCCAGCCATGTATTTGCTTCAAACTTTCTTTTGGTTATTTTTTTTTACAGTCACTGAAAGAAAAAGAATTAGCAAATGAACAATCTAAATTGGCAGAGCTAGAAGAAATTAAGGGTAGACAAGAAAAAGAAATCACTAAATTAACAGAAGAACTCAAGTCCCACAAACAGGAAAGCATGAAGGTATGTTGAGATCAACCTTTTCTCCCCTTCCTTCTGCAGTTATTGTCTCAAATGAAACTTACATGTATTTGCTTTGGAGTACCTGCTGTGGCTGGGAAATTTATTTTGCTTTTGCCCTAGTGCTTTTGCATTGACTATCTATACATATAGTTTGAAATTAATTTTCAGATTTCTGAATAAACAATTATATTCTTTTTAAAAGAAATAATACATTCATTTTCTTTTTGATGATGTTACATTGTTGAAAGGGATACATGCTCGTGTGCACCACCAGTTAGGGTGAGGAGGGTCAAGGAATGGGAGAAAGTTGATGAGACAACTGCTTCCAATCTACCTTTTCCATCTGGCATCTGCGGAAGGTGGAGAAAGAAGGGGAGAGGGCCGCTCCCAGCAGCCCAACTGCATCAGGCTGCAGGAGTGTGGGAAGGCCACGCAATGTCAGGATCTCCAGTGTGGAGCATGTTCTGAGGATACTGCTTGAGTGGTTTTGATAGTTCTGAGATGCTGTTGTTCTTGTTGCTTCAAGGTTGAAGAAATTCTTTCAAGGTCCATTGGCTGACAGTCCACCTTAGAGTCTCAGTTCTCCCAGACACTTGTCCCTGAGAGCTGTCCAATATGTTCTGCCCTCCATGGTACTAGATGTTTTCTACAGGCCTCAATGAACTGGCTAGCATGTCCCCCATGCGCATCTGGGCATGCTGTCCACTATACAGGCCTCAGCAGCTGTGAAGACCCAGTTCTGACACATATATTCCATGGTCAGACTACAGATCCTGTCATTTTCACCGTGGTTGGAAGTTCTGAGTCCAGTAGTCAAGTTGAGGGGTCCCAGCTCTTAGTGTTGTGTGTCACAACCCAGCCACTCCTTGTCTCTTCCACCCCCCGACCCAGCTCTTGTGGGTACCGAGTTCTAGTTCAGCCTGTCCTATCCTACCCTAGCTCTCGTGTGCATCAGTGAGTGCTGAAGTTTAGCCCAGTCTGACACTCCCCAGACCCAGTCCACATCCATGCCCTGTGATGCTGTAGCCATGTCTAGCCCGATTGGTCACCCGCATTCTAGCTGTCATACACACTAGTGGGAACCACAACCTAGCAGGAGTGTCTTCTTAGCTCTCTGACCAAGATCACACTCAGCCACATATCTTGGCACATGCCAGTGGTTATCTGACCTAGCCTGGCATAACTTATCACCCAGCTTGGCCTTTGCCATCACATGCTGTAGCCTGTCCTGGCCTGGCCCGGCCCTCCCCAAGTCCCAGCTTTCGCTAGTGGGTGCTACAGCCTAGCCATGCCCAGCCTGCCCTTGCCCCTGGCTTTCATGCAAACCAGTAGGTTTGATAACCTAGCCTAACTCCATATGGTCTGCACACCAGCCTGGCTCCCACACATGTCAGTGTGCTGTGGTTTGGCCTGGCCCTGCCCGGTCCCTCCCCTACAGAGCCAGGACACACACATGCCAATAAGTGAAGTAGCCCCGCTTGACCTGAACAGCACTCAACCCTAAGTCATGTGCTCACCAACAGGAGCTATGGCTCATCAGGGGAGTTCCCCAAGTTCCCCCACTGGATCCACTCCCAGACCAGATCTCACACATGCTGGCAATTGCTAGGTCCTTATCCAGCACAGTCTCTGCCCCTTCCTCCCCGCCATCTCAGCTTTTATGTGTATTGGTGGATGTTGTAGTCGAGTCCTCTGCACATATAGTTCTTGGGTATGCCTGCTGGTGCTACAACCTAAACTAACCCGACCTGTTCCCAACCCCAGTATCTAAGAGTGTTGTTGAGTTCCATGGTCATGCCTAGCTCAGTCTGTCACCACTCCAGCCCTCGAGCAAATTAATTGGCAAGGCATTCCCACAGGGCAGAACCCACAATCACCCACAGAATCTACTCTCAGATCCAGTTCTCTCATATGCTGGTTAGTGTCATGCCCCAGCCTTAAATGATCCACCCCTTCCCCAACAGTCACTGGCAGATACTGTGGTTGAGCATTGTCAGGCAGGCCCCCAGCCATGGCTTTAATGTGCACTGGTAGGTGGTATTGATACCAACAATCCCAGTTTAGGTCTCCCACATGGGCAGGTATATTAGTTTGACCTCCTCTAAACCACCCAGTCTCAGGTCTCACTTCCCTCATTCACCTTCAAGTACGGTAGCCAGGTTTGTGGAAGTTCCTCAGAAGGCATTCCTCACCTCTCACGTTCTCCAGTAGTGCTCCCTCCCACACATCTCCACACCCTCTTCCCTGATCAATCCACAGTCCCGTGTGCTTACAAATCCCCAAGCCCAGTGTCTGGTGGTGTGCTGTGCCAGCCTGGGGCTCTGCTTGCCTACCCAGGGCCCATAGACACTTGTGTGTGGGTCTCAGGCCCTGTCTGTTGGCATGCCCATATCTGCCTCCTCCCCTTACTTATCTTAAAAAAAATAGAATAAGTGACTATGCTGGCACACTGGTATAGTTAACACAAATTTGGCATTAACTGGCCCAGGATGCCTACTGTATTAAATACTTGTTTTCGGGGCATCAGGTTTACCTACTACGCCACAGTGCTGGCCCCTAAATAATTCTGAGTTTCATATTTTGTTGAAATGATGATCAAGAGAGACATTAACTTAGAAAATTATGGTTGTAGATTGGGCCTGGTATGGTAGCTGAACAGCTAAAGTCCTCACCTTGCGTGCACTAGGATCCCATATGGGTGCTGGTTCTAATTCCAGTGGCCCCACTTCCCATCCAGCTCCCTGCATGTGGCCTGAGAAAGCAGTTGAGGACAGCCCAAAGCCTTGGGAGCCTGCATCCGTGTGGGAGACCCGAAAGAGGCTCCTGGTTCTTGGTTTTGGATCAGCTCATCTCCTGGCTGTTGTGGCCGCTTCGGGAGTGAATAATCAAACAGAAGCTCTTCCTATCTCTGTTCCTCTCTGTATATCTGCCTTTCCAATAAAAATAAGTAAATCTTAAAGAAAAAAGAAAATTATGGCTGTAGATAGTAACCTCCAAAGTATGTAAATTAAGAATTAAAATTTTAATACATTGTGCTTTCAATTACTTCTAAAATCCTTGGATTTAATATTTAGCCTGTTTTAAAGCATCAGTACAGTGTTCATTAAGGGAAGGAATTACTTATACTGACCCTTGGGAGGTTATATTCTCTCTTGAGAGTCAAATAGTATCCTTTTTTTTTTTCAGTACAGTTGCTGCTTTCTTTAATTAATTATAGTTATGTCCTTCTGTTTTTTTAGAATCTGACTTCCTTAAGGCAGGGAACATACAGCACTTACTTTTATGTTATAGCCCTAGAACCTAATATAATATGTGGTAAATAAATGATGACCAATAAATCTTTGATAAGTGAGAAAAAGGAGACCTAAGAGGAGGAATATCTTTCATATTACCCAAATATATGCATGTCAAGTACCACCTAAATTTAAATGATTGCATAACAAGAAGCAAATAATCTTGCATCTTTAAATCAATTTTTTTGAATACTGAACTTTGAGAATCTTACAAGACAAATGGAAAAACTCATTGCATCTATTGTGAAAATTTGCATAAATTTCTACTGTAGTTAAAATGCTGACTTTATTGAGGATGCTTTATTTTTTAACTTATTTTTTTAACTTATTTTTGATAGGAGTTAACAGATCTCAAGGATGCCAAACAACTTTTAATTCAGCAGAAATTGGAACTTCAGGGCAAAGTAGATGCCCTGAAGACAACTCTGGAACAGGAGAAGAAAAACCAACAGGTGCTCAAGGAGCAGATGAAAAAGGAAGAGGAAGAGATGAAGAAAGAATTTGTCGAAAAAGAAGCTAAATTGGTCAGTGAATCAGAGGTGTTAGCCTAACATTTTGCTTTTTTAAGAAAGAAAAGCTAATTTGCTTAAATGCTTGATAATGTAACTGGAGATTTTTTTTTTTTCTGTAATCGTACTTTGGCTTTTGTATGTGAAAATCTAATTAAAATATAGCTTAAAAATAATTATACTGTCAGAAAGAAATAAACCCACACTGTATAGATGGAAGTAGATACTACCGATGTGAGCCGAGGCGGACTCGTTTGTCTGGTCAGAGTCAGTGTTGGTAAGGGGGAGTGGGAACTTCAGCTGAAACCATGGTGACCAGTCTGTTTCCCCATGCCCGAGCTGCACAGGTCAGATAGGAAGCACCTGCTTTTCCTCTATTGAATTGAGTGCAAGTATCCCTGAGATAACTTTATGTTAAATGTTTTAGTTGATGATCTGCAACCTAAAATTCAAATACTGATTAGAGGGGGTTGTGTATTTTGGAGGGACAGGTATAAATAAAGGGCAGTTTAAACAGAATAGAATTGGGAGACTCAGGAAATGACAGCTTTGTCTCTGGCATCTAGATATCTTGTAAATTAGTGCTTTTTTCCTGCGTTGGTGGAAAAGACAGCAATCTTTTTTTTTATATATAAGATTTATTTTTATTTTTTTTTTATTGGAAAGTCGGATATACAGAGAGGAGAGACAGAGAGGAAGATCTTCTGTCCGATGATTCATTCCCCAAGTGAGCGCAATGGCCGATGCTATGCCGATCCGAAGCCAGGAGCCTCCTCCGGGTCTCCCACGCGGGTGCAGAGTCCCAAAGCCTTGGGCCGTCCTCGATTGCTTTCCCAGGCCACAGGCAGGGAGCTGGAAGGAAAGCGGGGCTGCTGGGATAGAACAGGCGCCCATATGGGATCCCAGGCATGCAAGGCGAGGACCTTAGCCACTATGCCACCACGCCGGGCCCAAGACAGCAATCTTGTTTGGGTCACCTTACCTTGATCTCAGGAGAGGCTTGTTAACTGTCTTCTTGGCATTACATATCTCAGTTGAGACAGTTGAAATATCACAGTGCTTGTGGAATCAGTTTTATTAAGGTACAGCACAACAGTCTGCTGCTTTTCTTCCTAAAGATACAGTACCGTTTCTATTGCCAATATTTTAAATTCAATAAGTAGCTTAAATTTATTCTCATCATCTTTGTAATAGGGTCTTTTCTTCCCCTTCTCCTTTTCCTCAGAATTCCGAAATAAAAGAAAAAGAAATGGGAATGAAAAAGCATGAAGAAAATGAGGCGAAACTTAGCATGCAGATTACAGCTTTAAATGAAAACTTGGGCACCGTGAAGAAAGAATGGCAGTGTAGCCAACGGAGAGTGAGTGAGCTGGAGAAACAAACAGATGACCTACGCGGTGAAATCGCGGTGTTAGAAGCCACGGTTCAGAATAATCTAGATGAAAGGAGAGCACTGCTGGAAAGGTGACAAACCTAATCAAATTTACTGTATTTCCTTTGTAAGTGATTTTAAAAAACACTGTCATAGTTTTTAAAATAGGAGAATGTTGTGTAGCTCTTACAGATAATTAAATATTTGAACATTCATTATTAAAGCTACTGGGTTGTTGAGATTACTCTATTAAATTTAAAATTAGTAAAGGAGTTTATTGTCTTTAGAAAGGTTTTAGTGACTTTTTAAAAAGAAAATTATTTTTGCTTGAAAGACAGAGATGTCCTATTTTGCTCATTCTCCAAGTAGCCACAGTAGCCTGAGTTGGAGCTCCTTCCAGGTTTCCATCTTTGATTACTTTTCTAGACATGTTAGCACGGACCTGGATGAGAAGTTGAGCAGCCAGGGACACAAACTGGCAACCATATGGGATGCCAGCTCTGCAGGCACCAGCTTTGTCTCATATAACACTGCTGTAGGCCCCTTGAATGAATTTTTACAGAACTGTCTCTAATTTATTCCAGATGTCTTAAAGGCGAAGGTGAAATAGAAAAGCTTCAAACCAAAGTACTAGAATTGCAAAGAAAGCTGGACAATACCACGGCAGCAGTGCAGGAGCTAGGCAGGGAAAACCAGTCTCTTCAGGTAAGTGACTTGGTCATGTGAGGCAGTGTCTCAATCAAGAACGGGCTTTTGATGGAAAGCATTTTCAGTTGCATGCACTCAATAAATACTTTGGGGATAGTTCCTGTGTGTGCAGCAATATTGTATATTTTATGGATAATTAAAAATGGGAGATAAAGAACTTGTTTCAGGGACCATAGGAATTCTTTAGACAACAATGTCCTTTGTGAATTGTCAGTAAAGGGAACCAATTACAAGAATTAAAACACCAAGGAATGGACAGGATGGTGTTCATGAAAGAAGGGACCTGCGTGTGTTCTCAGAGTCCCGGGGAAGGGCGGCGCTCAGGCGGTAGGAGGGGCCAAAGACCAGAGGTTAGCAATGAACTCTGAGGAATGCAATTTGATTTACTTCAACTATACTTTGTCATTCAGTTTTATGAATGTTGCTGCTTTTGAAAATGGAAGTTGACCAAAGTATTTCTGATTTTTGAAGCTGTACGTTATGGATCATGTAGTGAACATTTTATAAAACTCTGGCCCCAAGTTAGAAATAATACAGCATTCTTTAAGATACTAAATATTACAATGTATTGAAACTCTCTTTTTCTTTAAATAGATCAAACACACACAAGCGTTGAATAGAAAGTGGGCTGAAGACAACGAAGTGCAAAACTGCATGTCCTGTGGGAAAGGCTTTTCAGTCACAGTGAGGCGGGTAAGCGGCTTTTATTCATACAGCTTTTTTCTTCTCTAGATTTCTTCTTTAGAGACAGTGAAGGTTTTAACTATCAAATCAGCCATGCACTAAACAGATTTAAAAGGTATTCTACTTGTTGACAAACTTTAATTTATACTATGTGGAATAATTGGATTTCGTGTGGTCTTATTTCTGGTTGGCATATGCATTTGAGTTTTAAGTTTGTTCTTTTCCCTCCTGTTGAATTACTCTACGGGACATACCAATGAACCATTATTAAACTCATTCTTTAGTTATCACTGGGTTCTTTTCAAGAAAGAAAAGCAGAGATTTTTTAAAAAGTATTCTTAATAGTGACATGAGCAGACCTGTTTCCTGCTGAAACATTTGGAAAATGGGAATCATTTTCTATTTGATAGGAGTATTGTTTAAACATATTGAAATATTATGCCACTCAATAATACATTGGTCACTTGAAGTTGGTACACTGCAATTAGTGTAGTTTACTAAATTCATGTCATTTCCTGTGCTTTGGATATAATTTGATGCCTGACCTGGTTTACTGTTTGCCTTTTACAGCATCATTGCCGACAGTGTGGGAATATTTTCTGTGCTGAATGTTCAGCCAAAAATGCCTTAACCCCTTCCTCCAAGAAGCCTGTCCGTGTCTGTGATGCATGTTTCAACGACTTGCAAGGATAGTGGATTGTCACCACTTTCAGTATATTACACTAACAACAGATTTCTAATAAATGTACTGAATAGAAATCTTGGACTGCTGTTTGGTTCGGACACTGGCTACAACACTAGACCAAATTAGAATTCGTATATTTTGCAATGTTATCAAGTAAAAGTCTTCTATTTTTGTGAGACTTGGGTTCATCTTTCTTTTTTTTTTTTTCAATTATCCCCTGGAACGGCTCCCATGCCAACTTTAAAATCAGCCAATGAAATGTAAATAAACTTTGGAGAGAAAATAGCGATGTATTTTTTTAAATATAATTTCATTGTTCATAAATGAGAAATTCCGTAGCTTCTTTTCCTAGATTTAATGCACAGAAATGTACATGAATGATGGTATCTTTATTGTTGTTTTCTTGCACAATACTTTAATTATATTAAATATTATATTTGTGGAGTCATGCACAAAACTCTTAGTGCTTCCTGGCTACCTGTTCCTCTTACATGTAAGTTTCTAACTCAGTCATGTTATAAATGCGCCACTCGAGTGTTCTGCGGATAGTTTATGTCAAAATCGTAGCATCAATGAATTAAAAACTTTAAATGATATTGATTAAATTCTTGGGTAGATTTTATGAAAAACTCTGTGAAATTAATTTGCATACCTTATGGTTATCCTGGCATTATAGTTTGAAGATTAAATGTCTTCTTATATTTTCCTATACCATTTCTGAGTTCCAACGTATTTTCCATTACAAATACCACAAAATTTCTTGTCCTTACCCTTAATTGCAGGATAACTAGATACTGTGTAGCAGCCCTGTTCTTGTTTGCTTGGGAATGAGGAGGTTTCCGAGGTCAGCCTTCCTATCACTCCCTTCTATCTCTGCAGCATCTTTAGGAAAGCGAGTTTGCTTTTTTTTAAATCAAACTTCCCCTGCCCTTATGTTTAACTTGTCCCAGAAGAGCTCCTAAAGCTAGTAATTGATATTGCTATAACTGTGTCTAGGAAAACAAAATAGGAGATGATAAGAAAACATAAAATACTATGCTTTATTTTTTCTTCTCACTTTTAAAAATTATGAAATTGACTTAAGCTTAAAATGGTTTTGGGTTGGATTCCATATCAACTGGGAAATGTTTTATAAATAATGCTGTGAAATCACCTTGAAGTTACAGCTGGAGAATAGATTATCATTCCTAAAATTTACATTTAGGAATATCAAAGTTGAAATGAATGAAATAGAATTGCTGAACCTTAACAATAATTCAGAAGTATCAAACTTGAAGACTAAACAATGAAAATGAATATTAATTTATCAGCCTTATTAATTTGAAAAATTATAAAACATCTGGAGAAGTCATTAATATTTATTAATCTTCCTGGAAAAGATATATAAAATTATACATTGATTCAGTGCAATCACTTAATAACAACAGCCAAAGATGGGGGTTAATATTTCATTTACAATAAATATGTGCACTTTCAAATATCATGCTGAAATGAAGTTACAGTGTTTATTCTTATACATATTATATAAACAAAAAGAGATTGCTACATACTTATTTCATTATTTCAGAAAGCATTTAAGTAAGCCCTGTTGTCAATACCTGTTGATACCAATTAAGTCCCAGGATCTGGATAAACATATATCCTTGAGTATGTATCAATGAGGAAATACACTGGCTTTTAATTAAAAATCATAGTTGGATTATAGAACCTGAGCTGTTTTATGCTTTTTATACTTATAGGTCCCTTCAAATAGTCTTAATTCTGTACTTTTATATATAAATAATTTAATAAATTTATTAGAAAATTGCAGATAACTCCCAGCACCACTGTTTTGGAGATAAAACTTAACGAAAATTCTGAATTGGAAAAATCTGTTCTATCCATCTCCTAATTGGATGCACTACTCTACATGCCTATTAATCCCCATCCTCCATTTTCACACACTCTTGAAAATCGTGGACCCAACAAATAAAGCCATATCTGCTTGAATGACTTTAATTTTTTCATCCAAGTAATCTCAATCCATAAGTTCTGAATAATTTATATATCTTAGGCAACTATACTGATTATTCAAATCAAACCTAACATCTTTGCTACTAACTTTCATTCAGTTAATAAATTTTGGAAACTAAAATTGAATTCTCCCTCTGCCCCATTTTAAATAAGTTGTCCTTTTCTGAGTTACTCTTAGCTACATGTGTTAGGTGTTTGTTGGTACTGTTCTTCTGTCAGTGAGTTTGAGCTGGCATGTACGAAGTCACAGTTCTTGACTCCAAAACATTTTGACATCACATGTTAGTACAGAAAAGTGACCTACACCGAGTCTTGCTGACTAGTCATAGTAAGCTAACCCTACCGAATTTTTTAATAGAAAGAAGACAAAGCTGCTAATATAGGACGTGCTTATTTTGAAGAAAAGAGAGAAACACAAAAACCTCAATGATGTATACAAATAACATTTTGTTCAACTACCTCTTAATGTGGGATTAGCCAGTTTAATAGTTTCCTTAGAGTAATGTTGAATAGTAACTGCCAAATTTGTTATTTTCCCATCCCTCTTGAAAAGTCTTTGATTGTTTTATATAGCTCCGAGAACTTCAAAGCCACTTTTTTAAACCTCGCATTTGCATAAAAATGTTTAGCTTTTAAGTAGAGAGCAAATTATAATCATATATTTTGATATTCATGACCTGTTTGACTATAGTGGTTTTTTTTGCTTTTGTTTTTGTTTCTAAGAATTGCACTTTGGCTACAAAATCATGGACGATTTGATCCATAAGACTTAAATGTGCCATCAGTTTAGTATTCCTGGACATGAGCTTGATGAATAGTTCTGTAATTACAATGTGCCACACATTATCATGTCTTAATTGCCCTTTGCCTGAATTTTAATGATCAATTTGTTATTGCAGATGTGAATATTATGCATAAGCTTACTAAATTCATGTAAAATTGTATAAAATAGAGTTGGAAATCCTTAGGTCCTTTTTGTGTAGAAGTATAGAATTACTGTAACATGATACAGTTATGTATATGATGTCCTCTGCTTCCTTGAACTGGATCATATATTCAGAGCTTCTGTATATACTTTTGCATGACTGTTTTCTCACTTGATTTTTAGGTTCATTATTTGTATTGTGCTTACTTCCTGTGATCATGTAGTTGTGCCTTATATTGTGAGAGTTTAGGTCAGTAAATACTGTAATTTCTAAACTCAGAGATTGGACGGTTATTGATTATAAATGAAACTGATAAATTACATGATGAGTCTGTACAAAGAGCAATGGAAGGATCCTTACTGAATTGTTGCTTTTGTCTTTTTAATATGTGAAAGATAACATTAAAAGATTTTTCTTTCTAATAAATACCGTGTGTGACTAAATTATTTTATCCAATCACTTCTCAGCCTTTTGGCTAAGATCAAGTGTAAATTATTTTGTCCATTTAAAAAGGGAACAAGACACTAACCATTTTGCATTGATTTTTCACCTAGTATTAGGACTTGTACTTACACAACAGCTTTATTTTAATAGTGTTTGATCCAGGATAGTAATTAAGTTCCTTATCACAAATGAAATTACTAATGTCATTTTGCTTGAGCCTCTTCCTTTTCATATCTTTCAATTTTATGAAGATTAACAAAACCTAAAAAGATATACAAAATATACCTCATTTCATTGTATAGCCAAGCTTAATAATCAGGCAACCATTAAAGATGCTTTTTGGCAGGAGGGGGGGGGGGTCAGAAGAAACCAAAATTCTAGAATGCCCCTTCCCTGCTTTCCTTGAAGAATTAATGCACATATTTTCAAGCTTGGGATATATTGCATATTAGGTCCTTTATTTTGAGAGGTTTATAGAATTTCAACCATCTCAGGCTGCTTTGTTTATTCTTTATGTTCATTTAATAACTCCCTTTAATTGACTCAAAGGGAGAAAACTAACCCTTTAAAATCATACAAATATTATAGTTCCTGGACTTGTGGGGGAAAAGGAATTTGGACAGATCACATATTTCCAGTGCATTGCCTCCTCCAAGGTGGGTTTATAGTTGAAGCGCCCTAAAAGGCTTATGTTTTTCAGGACACATTTATTTTGGCCAGAAATTTCTTCATAAATCTGGCATAAATGTCTGCTGTGTTCTCCTAGACATTGTTGCTTTCAGTCCTGTCTCCCCGTCTTAGGCTACCTTGCTTCAATAATTAGTTTTCCAAATTGCCCTGTTTCGAGCTTCTCCTACTAAGCACCTGACATTCTGTACAGACCGTGACCCTGCTCAGGCTTGGCCCCGCAGTCTCGCTGCTGCACTTGTACGCACTTGGAAGCTTCAAGTCTTCCTCAGAGAACGACTGTGCCGCGACTTCCCCAGCTGTCATCCTCTCTTATCTTCTTCAGCTCAAAGAAACCAGATCAGATCTCAGTTGTCTTGTAGCCAATTATGATCAATGTATTGCTTCCACTTTGGAAATTGCAAGAGGTACCATTCTTGAAACTGAAGTTTGTGAACTTCCGTTTCATAGAAGCCTGACCCTAAGAAATAGTCCTTTAAATGCTCTTTATAGTATTTGCTGCCTTACTACAATAAATCAAGCTGCCTTTCTTGATGAAAATAACAATGCAGTTTTAAGTCTTGCCAAATAAAACTGAATATGCTGTCCTAACACACACACACACACTCAAAAGTCGAAAGTATTTTTTCTTCACAGACACCATTGTTCTTTGGAAAACAAAGCTAAGATGTATTACTCTTTGAAAATTCCCCATGTAAAATTGTTAACTGATCCAAGTGGAATACATTTTTTTCTTAAAATAGATTCAGACCTTGGAGATTTCTACTTTCAAGTGAGAGCATTATACAGTATGCCACAGTCAATCATCTGTTGCAGAATAGGAATTTTAAAACTACTGACAAAATGGAGAATGTAATATGTTAAAAGAATAAACATATTTGGTATCAAAAAGAATTGTTGCTGTGATTGAGGTAGGACTGTCAAGCAGTAAAACAGGCAAGTCATGTAAGAAAACTGGTTTGGAAGCTAGAGTTGCTACTGGACTAAGCAATGGATTGTTCTTTCCTTCTGACGCTCATTTATATGACCATTCAGCCTTTACATATTGAAATAGCACCATTCTTCCCTTGCACCTCATATAACACTGAAATGTTAGAAGGTTCTCCAATATATCAGTGTAGTCATATCTCAGTATCCAGAACTCACTGGATTAATTATGGAGTAAGGAATAGGAGAAAGTGCAGGAAGCTTAATGTTTCCATATAATCCATGCACATCCTCCAGGATACTCTAATCCAGATGACTTACTATGACTAACTAATACACCATAAATACTATGTAAATTTTTGTTACACTGTGTTGTTAGGAAGTGACGTAAGGAAAATAAGTTTCTACATGGTCATCATGGTCAGATAAGATCAGGCATGTTCAGGGTGGTATAGCCACAGATCGGACATGTTGCATTCAGATGCAATTTATTATCATTTTCCTTCCATAATTGGTTGAATTTATGGATGCAGAACCCATTGGTGCGCAAGGCCACCAATGGGTCTTTGTTAAGAAATTTCTCAAAGTTCATATTTGTTGCAGCCATCATTCCTCTACCATGAGGACTTCCTAAACATTCCTAAACTTTCTAAACCAGATCCTCACATTCTGAAACTGCTTTAAAATGCACATTCCCTTATAGGTTGACACTAAGTGAGTGTTAATAGAAGCGTGAATGAAGCTAAAACATAAGCCCTATTCCGAAGAGGCTTGTTACTTGTGTTTAGTCTTTAAATTTCAGAAGATTCTGAAGGCGACGTGAAGAGGGACACTTTCCTGGTTTCCTGACTCTTGGTGAAACAGGAGATTGCTGCTGCTATTTGTGCCATCCACATTTTCTGTTGAAATAAAAAAAGGAATATGTATATATGTTAGAATACTAAACAATTTCTCATATTTAGATTGATATTTTCCATTATATTATTGAATTGTTCCCTAAAATTGAAGGCTAATAAAACATTTGAATATGTTTCCCATTTTCTCTCTTGCATATAATATAAATACCTCTAATCATATAGGAAAGTGAAAATGGATTAAATGTGGGAGACAGTTGAATAATCAGACGTGAGTAATCAGGGAACCATAACGATGACTAATTAGCAAAAGGTACTGAGAACATTGACAGTCGGAAAGTTGAAGTTCTTCAATATTCACTTTGGGTGCAAACAGAAGTTCTTAACTAATAGAATGATTAGGAAAAAAGAAACAGCCTCAGAGGAAGGTAACCCTGGAAACTGAATTCAGAATGCAGTACTGTATTGATTGTCTTGCCAGGTTTTTTTGGATAGGATGAAAGCCTACCAAGGGAAAGGCAAAAATAGACACTTGCGAGGCAGAGAAGCCAGTCAGGCAGCTGCTCTGTCAACTCCTTCACTGTCAAAACATCAGCTCGTTTCTCAGTGTTGAAGGGCAGACTTGGCAGGACTCATTACGGCACGGGCCCTCACTTGGACTGATATCACATGATTTACACTTTGGAAATTGACTAGAGTATCTTAAAAGTTAATCATGCAATCAAAAGCAGTTCTCCCTCATTTCCTCCAAAACTGTAGAACTCAGAGGTGACTAGAGCGTGACAGGCTCCAGGGACCTGGCCCGCAGGAGGATGCTGTGAACACCGAGGTTTGGGAGCATGGTATGGACCTGGTATCACCTACTGTCCAACTCCTGCCCTTCCCAGAGCAGGTCAGGGAAACACACAAGGCTTTCTAATTCACTGCAACTCTAGAAATGTGGGGGCAAGATTTCTCCATATTTAAACTCTGAAGAATCAAAGACATACCAAATGAAAATACATACTTTGATATTTTCTGTTTGGGCTTGTAATAAGAACGCTGCAACACACTGGTGGTATCTGTTTTCATGTTGGATAAGAAAAGCATTTCTCAGTCCAAAAACTAGAAAAGAGGTGACAAAGACAAAAAAGCCGAATGACTTAATACGAAATCCAATTTCTTCATGTAGGAGCCTGAGGATCGTTTTGGGTTTTACGAGGGTGGAAGGATTGTATAGCTGAGAAAAAGAAAATGTAATTGCAAAGCCAAGACTTAATTACTGTGTCCAAAAGGGGCCTGCTTCAATATGAAAATACTTTGTTTTTTAACTAATGACTTCCGGGACTGGATGACTGGTAATTATAGCTTGCGTGAGGAGAAAAATAGGCTCAGTAGGTCAAAACAGAGAAAAACTATAGATAATAAAAACATGAAAATGAGTACAAAGTTTTTGTTCGTCACACCTTGCCTATGCGTTTAAAGTGAAGCAACATGAAAATAAGGTTTAGAAACCATCATGACAGGGCGACAGTACAAAAGTTCCTCAGTGCCCCCATGAGATTAGGAGTGAACAGCTGACAAATCAGATGGGCCATCCACAGCAGCCGAGGGGAAGTGCCAAACGAAGCAAGAGGGCACACTGGCCTGGTTTCTGTTCTGACCTTTCCCTGCTCGGAGAGAAATGGCAGGAGATGCTGAGAGATAACGTCATGTTTCTAGTAAAGCAGGGATTCTTGAAAAAGCCTCTTTCCTCAATGATAGATACAACACAGGGAATGAAATTTTGCAGGGTACACAGTCTTCTTAGATTAAACCCTCCGCCCTGACTCCTGTTGGGCTGACGCGTCTCCCCTGACATGGTTCTCTGCTGAGGTCTGTGAGTTGGACTCTCACTTGTTTCAGGCAGGCTTCCTCTCAGAATCACAGCAAACGCCAGACGTCCATCTTCTCAACTGCAAGAACTATTCCAGTGCCACAGATTATAGTCATAACAGTTGAAACCTCATAATTCATAAGTCCTATGTATTAAATACAGTCTCTTAAGGTCATGTCATGAAATTCTGCCTAGCTTCTTGGAGATGAAAGAACTTGAATTAAAATTGCTTTCTGGGAAATACATCTGGCTGTGTTGGTTTAACTTCCTGACTTTTTTCCCCATGAATCCTCTGTGGTGAGGCAGTTGTTCTTGGCTAGTTTTGAAAGTATCCTCTGAAAGCTGAGCTGCAGTGCTCAGTTATTCAAGGTCTCCCTTGATATAACTTGGTTACATCCCTTGGTCTGTAATATGGGCAGAAGAACTTTATAAGCAAAGGACTCATAAGGCCAGGCTTATAAAATACAATAAGAAGATATTACATGGGCAGGCACAGTTCTTTATTCCCCTGACATTCTAGGATAACAACTGACACGTTATAAGACAGGTTAGCTAATCAGGAGATATTCACCTGTACAAGGTCATATAGCTTGTCGAAATCTAGCTCAGACCTGAAATAGAGTTCAATGCTCAGTTCTCTTGTTTGGTCTCCATT